CCAGCTACTACTGTTGGATCTTATGCTCTAGGATCTGATCCATCCTGTTAGCTTGTTGAGCTTACATAGATACATGGAATGATGCTAAATTACGACGTGCAGGTGTCGCAAGCGGTCCTAACGCAGGATTGGGATGATCCGCTGAAATTAGCCATAGCAGCGGGAATGCTCACAAGGAGGATAGCGAAGAGCTTCATTGTAGTGTTGGTAAAGGTAGTTGAAAGAGGTTGGGTTGGCAGTAATAGATGTTGATGTTTTCGTTGCGAGGTTTTTGCTAGAGACAGAAGGGGCTCAAAGCGACTTTATAATACTGCGAGGGACCACGCTACGAGTTGCGGGTGTGCGCACTTAACTTCCAATATAAAGCATAGAGTCATTTTGCATGGGGCCAACAATACGGCCGGCGGTCTAGACTTCCTTGAAAGAGCAGGTACTTGCGTATAGTCAGCTTCTGAAGCTGAGCCCGTATGAGACATGCAGATGGCCGAGAGGAGAGAACGGTCAATTTCGGTACATGGTCGGTCGAATTGGATTGGAAGGCTATGTTGGCAGCATCGAACCATTCAACTCGAGGCCATCCATACCGCCGCCACTAGTACAGGAAGACCTTTTGGAGTCTTCCGAGTGTTCCGAAACACCGGAAGCTCAATGTGGCTCTCCGGGTACGTCGGTATCAGAGAAAATTAGAGCAATCTTGACTCTCTTAAGCTTCTCTTTCCCTACGATAGCCTATCTGCGCAAGCTTTAGTATCGAGCTCAAAATGCTAACTTCTGTAATCATGTCATCTAAAAGAGTTGATTGAACTTGACGCCAGTAGCGGACGGCACAAGAGCGAATATGCACATTTTTGACCAATCCGACGTTGTGGAAACCCTTGAATTAGTCTGGGCACACCAAGTACGCTAGCACTCCGTATATGAGAAGGGAGTGTGAAGGAGCCCTGCTGGCAAGGCAATTAAGGCTTAGCGCAAACAAACGGAGGTCTTTGATGTCTCCTGCTTGGAAGTCAAGCACTTCGCAATGTTCGGCATCGTACGTCGGGTCGTGGCACACAGAGTCAGCTGCAGTAGTCTTGATTGGACGACTGGATACGCTCATATTTAGTATTTTTCAATCTTCTAACGTCGGGCAGCTATGTATCCTGAGATATGTTTTCGTATACGGTAGAGGTGTTGTATGCTGCGCCAACGTTGGAAGACAATGCTCCTATTGATGCGGGCAGTCGACTTGCGCTGAACAAAGGCATTACGACACGCATAATTCACCCCTTCAGCGCCAATGAGATCTAATGGCGATGCCTAGAAAATGGAGGCCTGGCAATAGAGCTCACTTTGTCATGGCTGTACTTGGTGGTGAACCAATGGGAGCTCAGCAACCTGTTAACGCCTCTATGCTCTGCCCTGCATGCTTCCAAGGCTCTAGAACATAAGAGACTTCCCCAAAAGCGAGGTCGCGACTCTTGGGCCTGCTAAAATCTCACTGACAAGAGATCTTTTCGTGGTGGCCATGGCCCGTGATTTATCGGCCATACCGGGATCGGCCCGAGTTCAATGCACGTCGTATACCTCCAGGAAGCAAAATGGAACCGGATATGCCGGCTCAGGAACACTATATCGGACCTTGTTGTCTGAGGACGACCTTGATTAGTGATGCATGCAGAGAGAAATGAACGATGATGATTATATATAGATTTGGACCTGGTGTCAAACGAGACTTCACGTGGGTTTGAGCTTCACACGATCCGGGCTGACAACTTCAATGTGATATTATGCTTTTCAGATGGATAGGGACCCCCCCCCCCCCCCCCTAGCCGCAAAAACAGGCTTCCTAAATAGGTATCTTAACAACGCTTATTTGAAAATAGATGCAACTTTAGAGAGGCGTGTAAGTAGCTTCTCTTAACTCTTCTCTCTACTTAGAATATTTGCTTTCTACTTCTAGATAGTATTATATAGAAGAGAAAGTATTATGTCCTTCTGTGCACAGGCGCTGATGAACAATACTTCAGCGGTTCTATTTCTACGCGTATACCTCACTGCAGTAATTACCTATCTGAGAAAAGCCCCCTATTTGCTGCGGGATTGAGGGGGTCCCTACCCATCTGAAAAGCACGGTATCGTTATCATAACGCGAGGTTGGTGAGTACTTCTAGTCAAATCAGCCCATCGCTCTATCCGAATGACCTCGTCTACATATGCCAGCAATCTAGGCACTCAGCTCAGTAGGAATCCGCTTCAATGACAGTCATGCGCTGAAAGTCTGGGTATGAAGGGAAGCGCTTCCTCTCTTTCCTGACAAAAGATTCATCGCGCAAAAGGTTGTATGCTCTTCGCTCTTTGAACCATCTCCGGAGGGGGGGAATCGTGGCACCTCGTTCGAGGAGCAGTTTGAGCCCGGGGGTACCACATCTCATAGCCACCTCCACCGGACACGTGTACTTGCGGTCCTTCTGCATCTTTGGGCCACCAGTTTGATAGACGCGTTGATTGACGTCCGCACCGGCGTCCAACACTGCCGCGATGAGGTCCAGGTTTTGTGCTCGCACAGCTACATGCAGAGGTAAGGTGTTCAGACCGCCTACGCTGAGGTCCATGTGATCTAGTAGGAGAACAGCAACCTTATATTCTTTGGCTTTGCAGGTTGCCTCGAATAATTTTGGCTTAATCTTCGCGTGCGTGGGTGACCGAACACGCAGTGTTGCTTGCACCAGACAGGGTACCCCGATCTCCATAGCTACTTCAAGCCACCGATTGCAAGTAGTTTCGGTTAAAGCAATGCCCGAATATTGGATCCCGTCAATGATGGCCAAAGCATGCGCAATGTTGCGCTTGTCTAAAGCGATCCCAGCTGCTTCCGCTGCCGAGAAATTGGCCCAAGCGGCACTGGGGCAATTCCCAGCCAATGCCAACGCCTCGAGTATGGCTTGGAGTAGCTTGTCATCTTTCGTTCTGACGGCCAATACTAGCGGCTCCCAGCCCAGTTCGAAGCTGACGTCGACGTTTTGCGGAACCTGAGCATACACAAGATGGTACTGTCGCGCCACCATGGCAGCCATGAGCCTATCTTGACGTAGCATGTTTTGCTCGACCCCAGTGGTGAGAGCCGTAGACCTGAAGCCGCCGAAGAGACCGCTCATTCTGTCCCATAGTATGTTCGCCACTCTGTAGTGGCCCATGATGTTAACAAGACCTTTACACAGTTCCCTTCGACAAGCCTCTTTGTGATCTATCGTGACGATGTGCAACTCGCTGCAGAGATAGTCCATCATGTTGTTTATGCGCGTAGGCAATGCGCTGTCTACGTCGAGTAGCCTCTTCGAGCGCTGGGCAAGGTAGCGGGGCATCATGTGAGCCATGATCTTCTCGCTCTGCCGGAGGACATCGTTCGTCTGGTACGTAACGATATCGTGCTCGATGACAGTACGGAAGGTGGTTACATAATCAGCTTCCTACAGACGCAAACGGCTGTGTTACGACTTACAGCAAGTGCCTCGCGCCAACCAAGCATTGCGAGGCCCTGAGCAGACCAGGTGATGGAGGACGATTGCGACAAGCTCCGGTGGGACCTGCATCTCGAATATGTACATGGTTGAGACTACTAGGAATGGCTGTGTGGGTACTTGGAGACTCATGATATGCGGTTGTTCTGACCCGTTAAGACGTCGTGGAGCGGGAGCTAGGCTCGGATGAAGATAGCGTCGTCATGTGATTACGCGATACGCGGTTCTTTCACTTTGGTCGCTTCGGGAGAGAGCTTGGCGCGTCGCGGATCCCAAGACCTTTCGCGACGCGCTCACCAAGAAAGCTTAGGTGATAGCGGCAAATCGCCTTCAGCAGCTTCTGCCAGTGAAGGCAAACGTCACTCTATCACTCTCGAAGCGCGGGTACGTTGCACGCCGCTCTACTCGGGGTCTCGTCATATGACCACGACAGCCGCTTGATCATCGTCGACTCAGGTCACCAGACGCGATAACTGCTCCGCATTGTTTGTTCTAGTCGCCAAGTTCCAGACAGTCTTCACCTGACACGCCGATCAAGGACGGCAGAAAGTGCGTCAGTCTCCCGGCTTATTGTAACGCGCAGTAACTTACTAACTGTATCAGCTACTGGCGTACGCAACGACGCACTTGTGTCCCCAAAGTACCTATCATGCACCTTCTCGATATACCCCTCGAGCTCTTCCAGCAGATTGCCCGCGATGTCGTTGAAGTCGCCGGCATCACTGGAGCATGGAAACTGCGAGGAGTTTGTCGCTCTTTCGCCGCAGAAATATCCCACCCGACATCTTCTTCAAACGAACTACAACCGAGTTCACGGGCTGGTCACAGACTCGGTTTCTTATGCTTACAATGGACCGCTATCTGGCTGCTCGATTGCGCTTACCACTCGACGTCGACCAGCTCCTCCTAGAAAAAATCCAGAGCATGGTTGACTGGGCCACGACTGAAGCGGATAGCAATACTAAAAGCAACAAAGATGATGCCGCGGAGAATGTGTGCACAGGTTTGCTCAATGTCGTTGGAGGATTCAAGCTGGTCTACCCAATCGTACACGAGTCGAGGGATGAGCGTAAGAATCTTACCAGGTGGGCAGAGCAAGACCTGGGTATACATAACAAGCTTGCCGCTGCACTAGGTGTCGGCAGCTACGAGTTGATCAAGACGCTCTTGCCCAGACTCCTCGAGAAGCCACAGGAAGTGTTTTGGCTCGCATTTGATCCCTTCAAAATCGCCATCTGCAAAAACGACATAACATTGTTCCAGATAACTTTACGGATCCTACAAAAGGTGGCAGAGACTGATGCTACCCGCTTGACGTCGATTCAGCAAATTCAGGTCGGACCGGGGAGAACCAGACTATTCAACATCGCCGACGCCATTTGGGACGCCATCGGGACCAAGCGACTTGGAATGCTCAAAGCCTTGTTGGACTTCTCCGGAAAGTTCTGCCCCCGCCCCAGTAATCGTGAATACAATCCATGGATTGATTTGACCGCGAGCTCAGAACAGAGCATTCTCGACACCTTGTTGAACTTCAAGCCAAAGGGAGGGTCGATGGTGACACGGCAGACGTTGACCACCGTGTGCTTCGCAGGTTCAGCCAGCATGATTCAAGCCGTGGTGACCGCCTTAGGCAAGAATATCAACAAGGGTTCGATCTTCACTTTACCCATCTTAATGGCTGTGCGCAGTGGACGTCCCTTGGCCGTACAAGCCCTCCTTGACGCTGGCGCAGATATTGGCGTTGTGACCAAGTCAAACATCCCATCGATCTCCAAGGCAAACGTCACCCCGCTTGACGTTGCCATATACCACCAGAGGCTTGATGTTGTCGATGTTCTCATGGCTCGCGGCGCCGGCCCGCTTCCTCCTGTGCACGAATGGCCCATGAATCGACGCTCATCCAACCATCTTCGCGGCATCGTCCTCCAGAGCACGGGTACCGACCTTCCAACCTGGAACCAATTTCGAAATCTTTCCCCTGAGGACCAAATGTCTATTGCGCACTAGAATAAAAGCAACCGAATGAGATCTTACGGCTGTTGGGGTGTATATCACGGTAACAACCGGCGGTACCGACATGGGGTTAACAGTCAGCATATACTTCACACTGGAGACCCGCCTTACCGTCCAGTCACAAGACTTACGACAAGCATCCTAAATTGCATGTGTCTTCTAATTACAATCAAATCTTTTTCTTGGTCCGCTCCCTGAAATGCATGAGCAAAGTGCCATGGCACCCGCCATTCGCTCGACAATACGGCATTCGCTCGTGGCATGTTTTTGACAGCTGCTCGATCTTTCCCCATAGGCTACTTCTCCGAGCTTTTACGGCTAGAGCCCCACTCCTGTAGAATTGAGTCTTTGCCAAAATCATCTCAGCTAGTTGTACGCTAACGTATAGGTCCGGGCATGTATGAGGGTAGGCCTGCACCCCGCCGCTTTGCACAACTGCACGCAACCAAATCAATTCCGGCATGTAAACCCTCGACCGAACGAAATCGATCCTCAGCCTCCCAAAGATATATACAGCTCTGCCAGAGTGGGACTAAGCCTGCACGCCTGCATTGGTGACAATCGAGTGATTGGAAGGTATGCGCAAGGTGTCAGACAAGAATGCATCTGTGCGGACGCCGTTGAACGTAACTAACTCACGCAGCTCCTGCAGGTACTTCTTGGGAGAGGAATCGAACAATCGAACTCCCTAGATTCCGTGGAACTGTGGGGATCGCGCTGTTGGTCTCTGGCCAGTGTCTCAGCCTTGGAGGACATTCCGTACCATCAGGTGATGCGAAGGCGACACCGCACGGCTATGATCTCCACTGACATTCGTAGAAGGACTCAACCTTCTATGGCAAACATACTCGATCTGCCACTCGAGCTATTGAATCGGGTGGTTCAAGAGATCATCCTTCGGGATGGTGTCGGCGCAGCTGCTGTGCATCGCCTTGTCTGTCGTAAGTCGACACTAGTCAATTCCAGAATCCTGTCACGGAATAGCTGACAAGGTTAGGTGCCTTCAATCACTACATTCGCGCCAGCATTTTCCTTCATTCTCCGGAAGAAGTTTTCTGGAATCCTGTCGGCCGAATGCTGATCGTCAATAACCTCGATTATTTTTTGACGGCTCAGGGCGACGAATTAGGGCAGCATGGCTACCGAACCGCCATGTCGGTCAAGATTGGCCAGATGATGAAGTACCTGATCAGTCAACGCGTCTTCGGGTCTACCGACGCAGAGTACGACAACAATTTGAAAATCTTGTGTGCGGGTCTTAAGACCATCATGGGAACGCAGACCATTGCCCGCGCTATTATAGTCAATGACCCTGACCTTGCCGACCACTCGCCTACATGGTGGGCTGTCTTCCATACCAACGGACCTCTTGAAACCTCAGTTAAGGTCAACATCTCCATGATCGTGGGCGCGCATGCTCTGGTCATCGACGAACTCAAGAACCTGTCAGATGACTGGCATACAATCAACCTCATTTACGGCGATCCTTTGACCAACGCCATCAAGCTGGGCGACATTACCATGCTCAATACCATCATCAACCACCTCACAACCATGAAACTGGTACCAAAGCGTCAACGAGGCCATCTTGTTCCCAGTCAGGCGAGGTCCGCGTTTCCTTTGGAGGATTCGGTCAGCACAGCCATCATGTACAACCGGCCTGATATGGCTGGAGCTCTTGTCCAGATCTACCAGGTTCAATTTGGCAATCCAGTACCCTCAATATTCGAATCGTGGCTGTGTCGGTCTTTGATTGTGGGTAACTCGGCCCTCGTCAAGACACTGTATAGGTCGCACGGCCAACGTCGGCTCAAGCTCAGCTCCTTATCCGTGGCCGAATTTCTGAAGACAGGCGACTACAACATGGTGCTTGAAGTTTTCAGTCCGCTCACCCAACCCCTACAAGATAGATTCGCGAAGAAGGACCCATTGTATATCACCCTCCGCCACCGTAACATCGATGCAGCCCGTGCCTTGCTCGCCACTGGCAAAGTTGATATCAACCGCGAGGTTCTCCACAACCACTCTGGGCAGTTTGGCAACGCTGCGCTCGGCTCCAGTCGCTACGCTAGCGTCATGATCGCTCCGCTGGACGTCGCTTGCCGCATGGACGACTACGCCATGCTGGAGTTCTTGCTCACTGCAGGCGCTAACTATCGCCGTCGGTTTGCTATACAGTTGAATGGTCGCTGCTACTACACTATTCGCAAGTGGGCTGCGCTTCCTCAGAATGGCGGCCACACTCATATGCCTGAGTATGGCCACTACTACTCTATGTCGTATGAGGAACAGCTCGCTTACGTCTTCGGTTGAGCTACACTTTGGTTCTTTTCTGCGCCGCTCCGTGTGCTTCTTGCTAGCACGATCTTTTGAAGGCCTAAAACCCTCGACCCTCCCGCCTCAAAGTTACAACTGAGCATCGTCCACTCATTAGTCCCCTTCCCCTCACACTACCCTCGCACTTCACCAAATGCACACTTTACTAGCCCTACAGCTGATTCTATCGCTTGAGGTACGCACTACCTGTAGTACGTCGTCGTCCCTTTCCCTTCTTCTCTACACCCAACTTGGTAACACCCAGGTTCTATTTTGCGATCTTTGCTTGAAGGCCGTAGTGGCGCAAGTGCTGCGCATGTACATAGCAAATCGGCGACATTCGACAAGAGAAACATGGATTCATCAATTGATCTTTAAGAAATGATACTCAAGTGGTTTAGTGCTCTATTGGCGTTGCGAGAAAGACCGCACCATGATCCTATCACATGCAAACTCGGCGTCTCTCAGAAAAAACGACAACTGTCTGCAATTTATCACGTCATGAATTATCACTTCGCGAATCCCACTTGTACTTTACATCTCGATTTTCCATATATACAGTTGAAACAAGGTATCTGTCGGATACGACGGACGTGATGATCAGCTATGAGTACTTCTTGAGCTGCACCTCCAGTTTTTGTCCCGCGTCAGTCTAGAAATCAAAACCAGTTAAGTTTCTATCCACCAGAAGAGATCGGAACGCGCTTGCCCATGTGAGTCCAGATGTAGTTAGCCTCCCGGGGAGAGAATTTGCTGCCCTTGAGGCCCTTGGTCTGGATCTTCGCTCGCACAGCAACGCCAACCTCGACATCCTCCTGCTCCTTGGCGGCGAAGATAGCACGCTCCTTGGCGCGATCCTTCTGTGCGTTAGCAAGTGCCTGATACTCCGCCGCAAGCTGACGCTCAGCAGCAAGATCCCGGTGCTCAGCCTGAGAACGACGGTGTGCCTCGCGAGCCTCAAAGGCCTTGCTACTGGCCTCCCACTTGGCCAAGTATACTTTGACCATGGCATCGAAGCGGGAGTTCTCGGCGAGGTACTCCTCGAACTCGCTATCGTTATAGTCTCCAGCCCAGGAGTGCTTTGCCATGCGCAGGGCGATGATGTCGAGGAGCTTGTCACCCAGCGGAGTGTGGATTGTGGTCAGGAGGTTGATGAGGTCCTGAGAGGGAAGGCAGGTCTTGATCAGGTGCCAGTGCGCGTTAAACATGCGCTGGGTGTAGGCAGTGAGACCAAGGAACTCAGCGGCCGAGGCGATATGGATATCCTTGAACAGGTTGTTCGTGGTGTCCATAGCCATCACATCGAGATTGGGGTTGGCTAGAGGAGTGATGCGGGCGATGAGATCCTTGACAGCTACGACGAGTAGGTACTCGGGACAAGTGACGTAGAAGACACTCTTATCCTTCAAGACGAGGTTCTCCACGGTGGAGAGAGCACTAAAAAGTGCCAAAGGCAGCGAAGCTAGGACTTGACCATCATGAGCACGAATCTCAACCTTAGGACCACGAGCGAAGGATCCACGCTTCTGGCGGCCAAGAGCACGGAAGGTGGATAGCTCCTTACCCATGCCAGGCTTCCTGGAATCTTCCTTGAGGGAGGTGGAGTTGGCCATGACAGGGTTGCTGTGGCCGTCCTTGGGGGAAGTGGAGCGACGACCGCCTCCAGTACGGGAGCCGATGACGATGGAGGACTCGAAAGCGTGGGTCTGGTTGGACATGTTGGTGATCGTGACTAGTGGTGTCAGAGAAGGTATGGCCAAAAAGAACTGTGGTTCTTACGAGTCTTGGGACTGATGATGGAGAGCTGAGAACGGTTGTTGCAGCTTTGTAGACGTGGAGTTGAATTCTTGGATGAGAACTATTGGTAAGGAGTTTACTTTGAATTTTTGATAAGCAAGGAGGGAGGAAGAGGGCAGGATATTTATACCAGAGGGCGAGCCCAGCGACTTGGCGTAGTGAATATACAAGGCGTGGCGGGCAAAGCAGTAACACCTGACAGTGTGAGGTACCAACAGTTGACCGACGGCTTGGCACTTTTGGAACACAATGTATGTCCCAAATCTTTCACTGTTGGTGAGTAATGCCTGATTTCTCCCCAATCAATTCAAGGGACTCTGTAACGCCGCAAGGCTCGAACACGGGACAATTGAGTTTATGCGATATGTTTCAGATCTGGTAAGAAGCTATCTGCTCTGCATTGGTCCGCATTCAGATAGCACAGCTAAAGACAAGATTTATATATGACTATCAAAGGTTTTTACTTTCAGTGGCGATTAATATCGTCTTATACATACAGTTGTTTGGCTTCAAGAATACATTCTTCGTGTTACGAGTCAAGCTAGCAATCATTCATCATGTAGCGATGGAAGCAATCTCATGATTTAAATCTTTTCATTGTCATATCAATTGATTGTACTCAAACCAAACACTATGGTCTAAATGTCAACCAAATCGTATCGTACGCTAATTCAAGATACCCTTCAACGCTTAACAGGCTACATGACGACCGAAAAGCTTCTCGTGAGCGATCGCCTCCTGAGGCGTCATCTTCTTGCCCAAGCGCTTCTTTTCAAGCATGCTCTCACGCACCGCCCGCTCCATGTGCCTACGCTCCTCTGCCTTCTCGAGCAGGAACTCGCGTTCCTGTTGTTCTGCTTGATTACGGGTCGATTGTTTTGCCCCATCGCGACCCTGCTGCTCTGTAGTCCGAAATGCCTTCTCCTGTCGTTTCAGCTCGCGCTCCTCAAACTTAGCCTTGCCTTTTTCCTTCGTTTCAAGCTTAGCAGCTGCCCTGCTCTTGCGGTCCACGGTGTCGGCAACGGCAGCGGCAAGACGAGGGTTGGTCTGGAGATACGCCTCAAACGCCGCGCGGTTCTCAATCTTGCCATCAAAGTACTTAACGCCGATGTTGTACGCCATCTGTTTGTAGATCTTGTCGCCCGGTGGAGTCCGAACGCGGCCGATGGCTTCGATGTTTGCGACGGAGGGAACAGTGGTGTTAACGCGCTTGAAATACAGCGAGAAGATATTCTGGGTAAAAGAACCCATGCCCAGCGCCTCGGCGGTGGAATGGAACATAATGTCGTCGTACGTGATTTCAGACCAGCCAAGATAGCAGACGAAGGACATCGGCGGGACCTTCATCATCTGGGACAGGAAGTAGCAAGCAATCTTCACGTCCAAGTCAGAAGGAAGCGTGACTTGGTCATCGATGACAAGCTCCGGCTTGATGGAGGCCGCGTTAAAGAGAGCCGAGGGAAAGTCCATAACTTTGCGGCCTTCCCAGCCGAGAATGTCGATAAGTTTGCCGGTCGTCAGCTCCAAGCGCGTGCGGCGGCCCATGTTAGTCAATCTTTTTTTTCCGTCCATGACCTCGGGCTGGGTGGTCGCAGTGTATGCCATATTCATGCGTTGTGCTATCGAAAGTGTAATGAGGGTGCTGTAGGTATTGTCGGGGATGGTTGATGATATAAAGGGCCTCGGATTGGGTATTCTAGCGAGTGGATAGTAGATAATAATCGCGAGAAAAGATGCTTTTTATGGCTAAGGGGCATATCAGGTGGCTGGCTTGGTTGTGAAAGATCTCGTCAGGTGCGGGTTACGTCATCGCAATGTGCACACTACGCCTTCTCTAACCCGCGAACATTGTTTATCCATGATTTCGTACGTTTGTGTAAGTATAGAAAATCTGGTTGTGGCAAGGCTTATGAGTGATTACATCGACGGACCGGCGGTCCACCGTACTAGCTGTCGATGTCAAAACCACCAGGCTCTCAGTAGAAGGACGCGCCTCTGGACCAATTCTTAAGTTCCATCATCTACAGCCGGCGCAGCATCATCAAATTCCTTGAGTGAGTCTTTGACACCCTTCTCGAGGTCGCACCAGATGTAAAAGCCCAGCGCAGCGACCAGGAGGAAAAAGTTCGGTAGCATTGGGTAACGCAGATTATGTGTCTTGTCTTGGATGACTGACTGCACCAATGGGTTGACCCATCCAGTCGCAAGATCGAGAGTCAACTCTAGACCGAAGAAGTGCGCTTCTCTACCACGCGGAAGCATAGAAGCGTACATGACTCTGTTGGCAGACCGGAGTGCAGAACTTGTCATGCAGAATAGTGTCTGCTCTATCCAGAATTCCGGAACGTACTTGTAGCCGATCTTCACGTTCTTGCCGATGCCGAGACACCCCCAGAAAATGCAAAAGATGTTGATGGCGAGGAAGCAGTATGCCCAGGTTTTGATCTTGATGTTGGTGCGAGGGAAGACAAACATCCAGGTGAGGCTGCCGATAGAAGCTGTGGTGACAGCCATAAAGGTATAGACCTGGACAAAACGTCAGTACTTTTTTGTGCCTCACAATGTGCAATTTGCGCTCACTGTGTACAGACGATCACCAGTGCCAAGGCCGCTGACTTCTCGAAACAGCAACCCAATGACAGAGTTGAAGTTACTATAACCTGTATTCCAGAGAACCCAGCCGACACACAACTTGAAGGCTTCTGGGTACTTGGGAATAGATTTGAGCAACTCAATCCCTGCACAAGATCAGATTGGGATCGAAAACTTGGTGCCTTGATGCTTACATCTCGTAACGGCCAGCTTGCCATAATTCTTCGTTGGTGGTTTTGATCCTTTCACCGAGGGTAGCAATACGTATCCCATACCGCCGAAAGATATAGTTAGGCAACCAGCGATGGTGATGGCCAGAAGGAAGCTGATTTGAATCAGCAGAAGACAAAAACTCGAAACACGGTTTGGCGCACCTTTTGTACCCATCCATTATCCCGCTTCCAGCCGTGTGCGCGATAATGAGACCAATACCTTGGCCAAGAATTGACCCAACATTGCCTGAGAGCAAGCCCAGCACACTGACCATAGTACCACGATTGAAAAGCTCTTTAGTGGCACGCTCTTCCTCGGTTACTACCAGTCGACCATCTTGACCGATTCTCGTTCGAGCCTGGATCCATCCTGCTTCGCGCATGAAGAGCGGGATATATGAAGAGGAGAGCGTGCCGTATATACCTTGTACGGTAGTCATGAAAACCCACAGGATTGAGCCTGACACGAGGTTTCGGTAAGTTTTGCTAGTCATGGACGCAAACGGCAGCGCAAAGGTTCCAAAAAGCACAATTCCGAGGATGAGAAGATTCTTGCGATTATCTAGACACATGAGTTTTATGAAGAAATGTAGTTTAGCTTTCGCTTACGCGTAAAGTCCGCGACTCCAGAAATGAAGATGCATACCACTCCCTCAGATGCTCTGGAAATTGACTGCAGATACAAACTACCCCTAGTTAAAATTTGTTGTATGTTTAATGCATCATGGTACTTACATGTAACTGTTGTAGTCTACCTCACCTGTGCCAAATGGAACCACGCAACGGATTACACCACGCTTTGCACATGGCTTGTTTGTACCGGGAATATGTCCAAGAACATTGGCGGCAGACTGAAGAACAGCAGGAACGTATCGAAAAGCCATTCCAGCAGTCGGACCCGTCTATTCCCTATCAGTAAATACTATGATTGTATGTATCTTCTAGAGTAGCTGACTGAGAAGCACAACACAAGCCAAGCAATCAGAGCACGCTTAGTCGCCATCGGCCTCCTGGATTCTGGGCCCGCCTTTTCGACATTGCTGCCAGATGCGTTGTCTGAGGGCAATTCGAGCGCGACAACCGCGATGGCATCAGCATCGCCCTTGGTGAGTACCTTCTCAGTGGCCATGACTTGGGTCTTAGTTTGAATTTTGGATGGGCTATCGTGCAAAACAAGTGCAATGATACCGTCATTTGGAACTGCTGATATTGGCCGCCTTAAAGGTTGAACACAAGATTGCAAGCGATAAGAAGCCCTGCAGATGCTCAATTGCGCTTGGTTGGATTTGCCGTGGTGGGCAACAGACACCGAGGTATCAGCTCACGCGATGGCCCATACATCTGGGCTACAGCAACTACTGCATGTGTCCCAGTTGCCGTAGCTTTGTCGCAGCACAGTGTCTACTTTTGCAAGAGCATTGTGATCCTTGCGCGTTTTTGAGCAAGTTGTGGAACGCCTAAAGAAGCGACGATCGCCGTTTCTTACATGCATATGCGCGCCTTGACGGCCTGGACACACTGTTTCTCTCCAATCGCCACGGAATTAGCCAAGAGAAAGAATGCACTAATTTTGGGTGCAGGGAGAGGCCAAGTTCATGAAAAACACTCGATTCATTCTAGCCATTACGTGCCACTCCATGACTTGCATCTCCCCATCACACCTTCCCAATGTATGAAAGACTGATGCACTAGATACCAGGATATATTCAGACAATGCTAGATGCGTCAGGGAGTCAAAAATGGGACGCATGCATCACTCGAAGAGTAACCATTGGCCATGGAAAATACTTTGTTCTTTTTCGTAGGAAAACTATAATACCACAGCCATACAGCCATCCAGCGATCATCCTTCGGCCCAAGCTTCAATCACTTTTACTTCATCAAATTCTCACGATACGCTTGCCCGCGAAGACGGATATGCACCAATCCACCAATGCACAAAAGGTCCATAATACCAAGTCCGGTGAAGCACCAACCGTATCCCATCTTACTCAGCAGCGAGTCCATGATGGCTGCGGCTATCGCAGCGCCAACATTCCGCAGTAGACCTGAGAGTGCAATGAGCGCCGCAGCTGACGTTGGCATACACTCCGTCTGATAGCTTGTACTGGACACCATAATTGTACCTGTTCCTGAAGCCACTACACATACCAATTTGTCAGCTTTCAGATACATGGGATGTGGAAATGGTTAGAGACGACGTACCAATCGCAGACGCCATTAACCCAGCAGCTGGATGGAAATGCTTGAGGACAAACCATCCAAACATCATTTTTCCCGCGGCCGATACAGCGTACCCGTACACTTGTACGTCCAAACGTCTCTCGGGTGGTGGGCTGTCAACATTGTGCTTGATCTTGTAGCGACGATAGACAACGTCCCCAAGACGGCCGACTGCGAACGAGGTGACTGTGAGTGCAACGCCTGTTACAATCAGCAAACTTTCAGGTGAAGTTCTTATAGTAGAGAGCTGACCTGGAGCCAGATACCCATAGCCCGTCTCGCTTCCATCCCATCCATATTTTGTTTGCCAGACTCTCGGAAAAACAATGTACATCGCAGAGAGGCCCGCAAAGTTGAAAGCTGAAGCGAAGCTCAATATACAGTTCGGGATAAAGATAAGAACCTTGAAGAGTCCGGCAATCGTTGGTTTGGGTGGCTTTGGATAGAGGCCATCGGGTACAAGCTGCTTTTGTCGGAGATGTGGCTTAACAAACCAACTTGAACCCGTGTAAACACTTCCATTGCCTACCAGACATCTTAGAGTCTCTGGTAGAACAAAAAGAATTAGCAGATACACCGGGAGACATACGACCGCTGCATTTGTTGCTGTTAGTCCAGACTCTGAGGTCGTTATGGAGCACTCACAAAGAAAGCCAAAAATCCATCTCCAAGTACTCTGGTGTGAGAATTGGCCACCAATGAACGGGCCAAGTAGTGGTCCTAGTTGAGGTCCAAGCAAGAATAATCCAATCCGCGATGCACGTTTTGCTGGCTCTGTGACATCAGCTACGGTTCCTGCACCAATAGAGGTAACCATGGATGATCCCAGAGCCTTGAATTGTGTGGTCAGTCTCTAGCTGCATCAAAGCTTTGGGGTTCACTCATACCTGGAAAATTCTCAAAGTGAACAGGCCGCCCACTGTCGGGGGTAGGGCTGCCAGAAGTGTGTTTGCAATGAGGAAAACAGCCAGGGATGTCATGTAGATCAGCTTCCTCCCGCCATAGTCGCTCAGTGTTGCTCCGAACATTGGCGCTACACCAAAGACCGCCCAATACACACTGACTGATGCATTGATAACTGTGCTCGAAGTATTGAAGACCGTTTCGAAAAGAACCAAACTAGGCAAGTAGACAGCCCCAGTGAGTGGCGAAAAGAAGCCAGCTGCTGTAACTATCAGCACTATACACCATTGTCGAGATGGCGAGAAAGCCGAGTATGGTGGGATTAGGTCAAAGCTTGGTGCTTTCTCGATGTCGTTGGCAGTAGTCCTGGGAGCATTGTCTAGTACCGACAGCGCAGACGGAGACTTGGATTCTCCTCCACCAAACAAAACTGTGGATGAGATTGGATCTTTTGATTCGATCATGATTCCCATAAATGGGGACAAATCCGAGAGTGTGCAAAGTTGGCCAAATGAATTTGGGCTCAGAGCCTGGCGCTACTACATGGCTTGTCATTCTGTCGATATCGAAGATCTCCGAGCTAGTGACCTGACTGCCTTCTTTTGACTTCGATAACGGCTGAAACAAAATTGGCTCAAATGCGCGTCGATGTGATGTGAGACGGGAAAGTGCTTCCACTCGATGGGGGTCCGCACCAAGACACGCTAATGCCAATCGTGCCGCCCTGGTCGGACAAGCGATCCGTCTTAAGTCACCTTAACAGCTTCACTCTTATGCGCCACCAACTGTCGTCAATACGCTTCCCATCGAACCGCAACCGGCCGATCTTTTCAACTGACGCGGTGCGCTAACGCATGCTTACTGGGCTGATATCTGACCCTGCTCGTCCTTCTCGTGGCTGACAGCTCACAACGCACCCAGCGCCACCAGCGGCGAGGAGGTCCTATCAACACTGCGTGCAATAACAGCTCCCCCTGTACCACGGTGCGGGAAATCACGCAGATGGGTCTCCCTTCCACACAGACTACGCAGTCCACTATAATGGATGCCTCAACATGTTCAAAAGTCCGATCAATACCCGCATACTGACTAAAACCACCTAATACCACCTGCGCAGGTCCGTGGTAGACTGTAATCTCGTGCGTCGCGCTAGTAACGGGCCGCTCTTTCCCACGCGAAATAGATTGGACGCAAACATGCTCACGGGTCGTTCGCGCTAATGTATGGTCGCAGCAAAACAGCCCACAAGCACACCGGTGCGATCAAGCAAGCCCAGCCTGGTGTAAGATCAAGCTTCATTCGTAGCCACGTGCGGCTTCTTTAGCACCTACCTAACGCAGGTCATGCTTTGCCCTTTCAATTGACAGCGAGGGTAACTTCTCCGCCGCCCGTAAGTGCCAGGCTCGTATCCAATCTGTCGAGTGCAGCATATGAGTGGAGCATGCCGAGAGGATTCCAGATTGTGCGGCTCACTGCATACTCGAGTTGGCTCTAGCAGCTCACCTCAGACTCTTTTGAATTGTGCAGGGGACAATCTTCTGCCATAGTTCTCATTGTGACAGAGTTGGCTGTATTGTGGTTAGTAACTCTCTATAAACTACGACTTACGTCAGCATACGATCGACTGTGTTAGTGCCTGCTTCAATCGTCAACATCGACCGGTGAGTATCATGAATTCCAACATTTGCCACACGCGGCACTGCTTTGATAGCTTCGTCTTGAAAATCACGAGCAAATGGTGTGAGGAGCACACCCCACGTTCATCACTCAATCGGCGTGCGATTGACCATTGCTCCGAATGGGCTAGATCAAACCGCACGCCTTTCACCAGTCGCAACATCATCCCAGTAGAGCCTGCAGGGTAAGACGTTATTATTTACCATGCCGCAGACACACTTATCAGGGGAGTATCCGGAGCTGAGAAAAGAACTTGGCTTGGATCACGGCCAAAGGCAGAATGTGGCAGATGCAACCGTGCTTAGGTTCGTGATACCATGCGGGACATAAAACGCACTCGTTACTGAGGCGAATATCCATCGTTAGGATGGCCTAATTTCGGCGCTAAAAGCTAAATAGCAATCGTGGGTACTGAGCAAGTTATCCGTACACGGAGACATCTCTGTACAACCAATCTGTTCTAAATTTCCTGTACGCTCAATTATGAACATCGGCTCATCACCATATCATGCCATTGGCGCCGTATACTGCCGCGCGTCCAACACGGATCTGCTTTCGATCGAGGGCAGGTCTGCACAACATGTGACCAAACACTGGACAGAGTTACGAGAACATATAGCTTCCAGTTCACAAAGCTGCACGTCTGTTGTATCTTGTAACATTGTCAGGAAAACTATCATCCCTTCTACGGTGTTCGAAAACACTGAAATATGCGATTTATCGGGAAGTCATACACATGTCATTCGAGAACTTCGAAAGCGAGACAAGGCCTACCATGTCGGCTTGATCAGCTGTGATGCTTCGCAAACTCAGAACGAGGATGACGGTTTCCGCGAATGGCTGGAGACATTCATACTGATGGAGACGAGCCTAAGGCCTGATAGCGACGAAAAGAGCCTGGGAAACGGCAGTGTACTTCAGATCACTGAGGCAATCACAGTGCTCTTCAGCCATACACTGCGAAATGTCTCGTCAAAAGATGACTGGCATATTGGGAAGCATACCTTCCAACTTCGGGTTTCTTCCTTTGTTGCCCGTGGTGAGAGGATACAGATGGCCTTGCCTGCATTCCCTTGCAAGTCTCCTAGTACCCGCAAGGTCGGTGGTATTTACCCTGACATGGCCGAGCATATCGCACTTACAACACTCCACGGATTTGTGGAAGACGTCAAAGCCATATACGCACCTGGTGTGGCCGTGTGGATAATCAGTGATGGGCACGTTTTCTCAGACTGTAGTAAGTGATTCATGTCTGCATGATTGACATGTGCTCACTATCTACCCATCTAGTCGGTGTTGACGACGATACCATCTGCAAGTACGACAGAGCTCTCTTGAAGACATACCAAAGCCTATACACCTCAAACGAAGATCACCAAGCAATCAGGTTTCGTGGGCTAACGGACATTCTCTTCTCGAATTTTGACGCACAGGCCTCTTTCAGACGAGACTGGTTTCATGGGTTGTCCATCGAGCATCCAATATGCTCCAAACGCACAGATGAGGCTGAGCTGGCCCGCATGATAATGATGACTGGCTTTCAGACTTCGAAAGAGCATTTCCGCAAGCTCATCGCTGATCAACACGAACACGCACTCAAATTGTATCGAGGACAAGCTCGGTTCATGCAAGACGACCTCTTCTGTCCCAAGTTCCTTGCCATGTCGACGAAGCAGAGAAAAAAGACCTCTTTTGCTGTTGCCGCAGAAATGATCGCGCGAAACCAGGCATACTCGAACTTGTTAGAGCTTTTGCTTCCCAACTACGTCAGGCTTTCTATTCACGCACATTCCAATAGAGGACCGAAGTTCGGCATCCGGCTTTTCCCAACAACGAAGGTGCGCGCAATCGAGTCTATCGTAGATCGTCATGCAATTTGTCCATCATACGAATTTCAGGTGCCCACGCCTTGGCACAACTCCATGATCAAGATTGAAGGAGACGACATGCTGTATCTGGGTAAAGCAGAGATTGTCCACAAAGCTCTCGAGGCCGGCGATTTCGAAGGCGAGTGGATCAACGACCAAATACTAGGCGGCCATTTTGCACTCAGACCCACGCCTGCCATCAGCACCGCATCCTCAATGATCAATGAGTCAATATCGTCACTTTCTACCAAGTTTGATGACGAGAAACAAACGGTGTCGGCAAAGACTTATGACTTTGGGCTTTCGCCGAGCGATTTGATCATCAATACTACAAAGGTGCGCCTTGCTGTTCGGCTAAGCGGCAAGATCCATCGCATGCTCGGCTTCTCAAAGCTCTTCGCAAAATCTCCCACCACGGATGATCTCAATTTCCAGGAATGACAGACTCCCTCACGTGAGGCTGTAATTATTAGTAAATGACTTTTACACTCCAAGGTTCCAGGAAGTGCGTTCGGAGTTTGGCTTCGCAATGTTTAGATTATCAAATACACAGTGTTTTGACATAGTCTTCTGATAATGTCCTCCTAGCCTTGTGAACTCGTTCTGCAAAGGACGACTGTTTTACCTTGCGAAACATTCACCTATGCGCCGGTTGCAGGAGATGCAAAATCCAAGACTTGAGGCGCAGCGTCGCGTAGCTATAAGAGCTCACATATTGCATCAAGCACCGCATGTACGAACTCAACAGTTGGAAGATGTCAGATCACAATGGAAGCCCAGACAACAACAATGGTAATTTAGCCGCGAAGCTCAACAGTACTCACAGGGCAAATCGCATTCTGGAAAAAGTAAAGTCGGGTAATGGAATCCTTGCCGAGTCCCGTTGCTGGGCACTGCTTACTTCCAGAACACGATCATGCAGCTTCCCTGCGTCACTACCGATATTACTGCGTGACTGGATCAGCTTCTGCATTTGTACAACGGCTTTATCGCCAGCACTGCAATCATAAAAAGCAAGGAAATCGACAGGCTTGGCCACTGCCATGTCCAGCACTGCCTTGCAGCCGCATTTCCGTGAAGAGGTATCAATGGTCGACACAATAGATCTATGACGATGCTTATGCTGATTTGCTTACACTTGGCGACCGCAAATGGACTACACTTTATAGTTCGTATGATAGAGGGCGTCTGTTATGTGATGCAACATTTTATTGTTACAAAATTTGATCAATGGTATTGGCAATACCTGTCTAGTCGTCTATAAAGGGTACAGATTGACCTATTACAGAAGCAGAGACTATTTCGAAGTAAGACCTTGGCTATCAAGATTGCGGCACAACGTCTTCTAATCCTACAGATTCTACCCGTTCGTCGAACGCACCAATACCTACAGTTCGTCACAAGCTCCCCGTGCGCGTCAACGCAGAGTATCTACATGCTGGTCCGTGTAAATAGTTACATCTTCTCCCAGCCTCTTGAACTGGAGCTTCAGCATCCGCGGCATCAACGGTCCAGCCTAGTTGCACAGAAATCAGTCTTACTGTCATCGGGCGATTCTAGTCAAGACTCACCGGTGTCATTCTTCTTGGCCACGTAGGATCTAGCTGCCACTCCAAAGTTGTCAAAAGCTTTGAGAGAGATATCCTCGCACCCATCATGGCAAACTTGATGCCAAGGCATGTCCTTCGTCCGCCGTGAAAGCTGATAAATGTGGACTTGCTACTAGATTTGCGAAACAATTGCTGAATCTCCTCAGTCGTGCTGCCCCATCGCGAAGGGCGGAACTCATGTGAGTCAGGGCCCCAGGCGTGTATGTCGCGATTGGTAGTGTAGCCATTGTAGCCGCAATATGTGCCTTTTTTGAGCAAAATGTCGGTGCCTAGAACTACATCTTGTTCTGTGCGGCGATTCATCAGTTGTGAGATGGGTGGATACAGCCGTAAAGTCTCGTAGATCGTTGCAGTCAGAGGTGGAATTTCGGCAAGAGCATGTGGATCGACACGATCTTCTGGACTAAGAGCCAGTATGTGGGCTCTTAAGTCGCGTTGGAGGTCTTGATGTTCTGCGAGCATCCTCATGAGCGAAAGTAGGAGAATCTGTGGGTTTTCGTGCCCGGCGAGAAACATTGAAAGACAGTTCTGCTGTAGATGGTATCGATTACTGGGAATCTATCATCAGTATAACGCCAACGACTGCGATGAAATAGCTTACATAAGTCCTTGTTCATACGCAGTGACAAGTCGGCACCCGAGATGGTTCGATTCCATGCCCTTCTCGTGTTTATGCTGATGTCCAGAAAGGACTTTCTCACACAACTCTTTCTTGAATTTGTTGACAAGTCGGCGTGCTTCTTCTCGACTTGCGAGTTTGAAGTGATCCAACAGCGGAAAGTTGAGATAGAAAGGATTGAAGATCTTTGGCTTGATCTGCAATTGCATCTGCGACAATGGCGCATTCGGATCGTCGAGTGTCTATAAATTATCAGCTAATGACCATGATGTGGCTACGCGCCTTCAGACTCACACCGAAGCTTGCGCCGAGGAGTGCTTCACTGAGATTGGCGAGTGCATAATCTTGTAGAGGCTTGGGCATGACCACAGCATCTTTCGAATCTTGCTCTCTGAGCAGGATCTCGATGAGTTTATCTGCATTCTTCACAACAACTGATGTATCCACATCAGCTTGGAGTCCTGGCTTGACAATGGCCGCAAAGCTTCTCCACTGATCGTTAATGGCACTGATAACATTTTCGCCAGTGTAGAGAGCTAGAATAGAATGCGGGTTCTTTACATGATTCCCGGCTTTAGGGAAAACCTCGTCTTGCTTGAAGACTTGGTTTATATATTCCGGTCGTGTGATGAGCACATTCCACGCACCGCCAAAGTAAATCTTGACCGCGCCAAATTCTGTCAGTGGCTTTCTGAGGTATATATGCCACATGTGCTCTTGGTCGACATCCTTGAAAAGTGGTATGAGAGTGTAGTAAAAAGGTATGGTAGGTATATTTTTCGGGAAATGCGACGGTGGCAGAATCCAGCCAGTAAGAAGTCGATACAAAATGTACGAAAGAATTGATAGCCAGAGGACTCCAATGATGCTGTATACGTAGAACATGATCGAAAAGTTATCGAAGCTACGAATGAGATTCTGTGGGATGCGAAAGCAATGGCCGAGTCATCTAGGACCTACACTCCGGTCGCACTTTGCGGTTCCACTGTGTCACGAATCGTAGTCTGTATCAGGCGCGGCGCAGATCACTGGCTCCAACGCACAACCATGTCGGGTCGTGCATGTGCAGTAAGAATGGATCGAAAGAAGTTCAAGTGGGCTGACGTGTCTTCCGACCAGTTGGACGAGGCCGTTGCCGTGCCGTGTATTGATACAAAACCTCCCTAATGATGTGAGGACATGTGCCAAGTCCGCCCCACCAGATAAGGCGCACCAACATGGGCAGGGGAAACAAACATGCTCACCCGAGTCACATCCTAGGAGATCCCGTGCTGCATGCGAGGTCGGATGAAGCTGTGCCGTTTTCGCCTTACGCCTAGTTGGTAGAATTTTCGTACGCCCACTGCACACCCCTTGAGTCAACAAATGGCAAGATTCTGTAAGAGCTAGACTATGTTGAGAGTTGATTGGAATAGCTTGAAATCAGATGCTCCAGCTATCTGTTCTCTCATTTCCGATAAGCATGATGGTAATGTTGTAGGTGACGTTGATGTGACCATCATCAGCCTCAAACGAAAGCGTGCTTTTATTGTTCAACAAAATCTCCTGTGTTCAGGGACAAATCGAACGTCTTAGGCGACAGTCCTTTTGCCGAACACGCTGGCCCATTATCTCGATACTGTTGACACAATGGAGTCGCAAAAGGCTGAGACTGTAACACAGGACGCTACCAACACGAAAGCTTTGCATGGGGTTTCTTCCATGGTCACTGTCATCGAACTCGACTCACACTCTGCACCACGCACCCAATTGACGGATTACGAACAGAACTCTGAGTCTACGCTTGACGTGAATATTTCAAGCCCTGGGCAATATTCAATGCAACTCGATGAAGTTCAACCCACACGAAACCAAGCTCCTCCAAGGCTTGATTCCGAAGTCTCTGCTGCGGTTCAAGTTCTTCGAATCATCGAGAGTTATGGGCAACACAAAGACATCAGCTATCAATGGAAAGGCATTGCTAGCTACGCACCTATAGTGGCGACGCAGATCCGAGCTGGTAAGCCAGTTCGCATACTTTTCACTGGATTCGGTTTCAAATCGCCACTGGTACTAGGTCGACTACCCGACTTGGGCGAAAAGCTCGCACTCGCGCACTTGGATGGACTTTGCTCAAACATCGCCACCGTCTACGAAGTGGGTGCAGAGGTGCATGTATGCTCAGATGGACTACTTTACAATGGTTTGCAAAACTCTCACCTGAGTTTGAGTGCAGTAACTGACTCTTCGCAGATTTGTTTAGTGTTTCAGACCAGACCGTTCGGTGCTATGTGGAAGGTCTTCGTCAGATTGTAGACACGAACGAGCTTCGCAACATACATATCATGGAAGCTGGTGGTTCGCCAGGCCGTGAGCTGGTCAGCCACGGCTTTCCTCCCCGCGACTATTCTGGCAGTCGTACAACACCTGCCAATGTAAATGTGCAGCCAAGTCTACGTACTCGGCAACGAACGTACATGTCCGCAATCATCGCAAAAGAAACCAGCTATGTCCATCTTACTTCTTACGATACGACTATATCACCAGGAAGCGATGTTCTCACTGTATCGTTACTACCTCAAGAAGCCGCTGCTCTCTCACTAGCGCCTTGGGAATCAGTCGTTGTAATCGAAAATGACGGACGCTACCGCACTACGGCAGTAAATGAAGTACAAGACAACGAGGCATACGAGGTAGTTCTGGGTATATCTGGCGCACCGTCGCATTATCGCGCTAAAGCCGACATGTGGGATTGGAAGGATGACGGGACGGACGTCACCTTCGAGCATCTATATCCCACCGGAACCATCATTCGTCCTGGATCTTCATACACTGGCAATGCGCCGTCAATCCAAGCGCTACCAATGCGAAAGGTACGCAAACTCGCCCAAAACTTCTCACCTATCGTTCTACGAGGCTTCAGCGAGACTACGAACGAGGACTACTTTCTCGCCAAGGGCAATGAGCTTGGTGAGATTTTGACCTGGACGTTCGGTCAGATACTCAAGGTCAAGGACACTGGCGAAGTCGACAAGAACGCCAACAATGTGACGTCCAATGAAGCAATGCCGATGCACTTCGACGGTATCTTTAAGTTCATCGATACGGTAGATCCTGTCACTGGTGAAGTCAAGAAGGTCATGACGCCACCACGATACCAGTACTTTACTTGCTTGAGCACGGCGCCGAAGGGAGATGGCTACACGCTCTTCGCAAACTCGCATCTTTTCTTTCAAAACCTACCAAGCCCGTTCACGCTCGAGCGGTTGGAGAAGGCGACGTGGAGCATGGTGAACGACGGTTTCTGGTCTGCGAAGCAGACTGGGCTACCGCTTGTGGTGCGACACAAGGATACGGGCGCAGCATGCCTACGATGGCATCAACCATGGACGGAGACGAATTTCTCGAAGTACTACATCGAAATTGAGAACGATGAGGCAGCAGATGAGTTGGTGAGCATTATCAACAGGCTGGTATATGACTATCGCGTGTGCTTGAGGTTTGAGTGGGAGCAGGGCGATCTACTGATCAACGACAATGTATCCATGTTGCATACCAGGACGGCATTTGCTGGGGCTTGTGAGCGGGAGATGTGGAGGATACATTTTGACTAAGATCTGTCTCTAGAATCGTTGTATTTGATAGCTAGTATGTGATGAAACGACGGCATGGGTCGACCCAGTTGAATTGTTATTGCATGTGCCTGGGATTCTTAACCGTACACCACTCCCAATAAATTCCCTAACCCTTCGATCTTGACTTTGAACTTCTCCCAATTTTCCCTTGATAAAAGTTCTCACGTCTGGACACTAACCCTTTTCCCGAAGTACTTTTCCAAGACACTCGCCTCCTCGGCGCTCCAATTCTTCCATCCCCTCTTCCGCTTCTCCCTCACCACTGCCACCAATTCTGTCTCTTTGCGCTCCTTCTCTTTCAACCTGATCTGCGTCTCTTTCCAATTAACCTTCTTCGACCTCGCCTCTTCCTTCTCCTCTGGTGTCATCAACTGCTTGCTCTGACGACACGCTTCACGCAGCATGTAGTCCTCGCGAGCCTTAGTCATCTCTTCTGAGATTCTCTGCTGCTCAACATGAACAGAAGTAATAGCTTCATGAAGGCGAGAGTTTGTAGCAAGGTAAGCTATAAAAGCTTTTTTGTCATTGACATGGCCTTCGAAGGAGGCGATGCCCTGAGTTCGGGCCACCTCGTTGAACAATTTCTTCCCAACGTCTCCCTTCATCTTGGAGATGAAGTCAATCAGGTTGTATGACAGTTCGTTGCTTCGAGCCATATTTGTGTAGTGCTCAATAATGTGCTGGACATACATTGATAAGCCAAGGACCTCAGCGACGCCGCACATCTTCAGGTTGTCGACATGATTGAACGATAATGCCATCGGTGTAGTGGTCCCGTTGGACGTTAGGTCTCGAAGATGATGCAAGAGATTTGCAGCGACCCTACCTTCGACATTCGATGGAAGTGTGATCTTGTTGTTCTCTATGCGTGCCACCATCTTCGTAGAGCACGCGTGGAGAAGTGGTAGCGGCATGTCGATTGCGACATTGCTACCTTTGTAAGCAGAGACTTGTATCCGAGTACCCTTAGCGAGCTTTCCGCGGCGCTCTAAGAGTGACCAGGTGCGGATATCGGAGAGAGGTTCAGGTGCGCTTGCCTTAGTTTGCATGATGGCGGTGAGATGAGTTGTGAGGGAAGTTAATGCTTTCGAACGAGGAGAGAATGATACTATAGGCGAAGGAGAGAATGAGGAGTTTATGACTACTTTGTAATGGAGGGAGCGTTCTCACTGCACGTTGTCACTGTCCAGGCAGAGGAAGTAAGTAGGCCAAGCAATCATTTCTGGTTGATACATCACCACCTCAGGATTCACGGTGTTTCGCAGCTTCTCACGTATACTCACAATGTATCGTTGAAAACCCTCCACGAATCACAGAGCCAAGTCAAAAAAATTAAAATTGAGCAAGACGTTAGATTGTGTAGTCTTTTCGTCTGACTTTGGAAGCTAATTTAGTGCACCAGTTGCATATGCATACAGCGTTCGGTCTTCTACTCCAAGTTACAACGCAACACACCCTCCCGCCTTCCGCGCGCTCACACAACCAAGTTTTACCATCGCACACATAACATCGATCGAGAATACCTGATATTCTGCATCCAAAAGATACAAATGAAGTCCCAACATCTAGAACTTCCGACACACCTCACAACACTCCCCAACACCCTCACCCACAGTCGTGCACTTCTCACAACCAGGCAACCTCCCCTGCCTCGCACCGCTCATAAACCCTGCACCGCGCGTAACATCCCCCGCTTAGAGATGCCCTATCGCCACGCAGGCAATTAAATTACGCTGGAAGCGTGAAATTTTCTTCACCCTGCCGTCGCACGTGCCTTGATATACCCACGCGAAGTGCCGAAGCAGGCGATGCTCAAGCAAACTCGCGCGATCTGCTTTACTCAGCTGAAACGCTGCGTTGTTAATCAACACGTCGTCTTTGACGTATGCTTTTGCGCCGCGGGGGATGATTATCGCCGCGATGGTTTTGGTACTCGAGCGCAGGAATATGTGCGAGGGTTGCTCGAGGTGCCGGTGTGCGGAGGGTTGAAGCAGCCGGCGAAGATGATGATGCGGTTTGTGCGATTTTTGTGGAGTTGTGGGTATGTGAAGTAGGTGGTGGGTTTGGCAAAGATGGGGTACGGGGTTGTGCAGTTTTTGAAGCACCTTGTTGCAACGTGTTGGATGTAGAAGGAGAGAAACGTTTTGGTTTCTATGGGCAAGTGCCAGGGTGGTTCGTGAAAACAGAATGGATATACATTGTGCAACTTCTGAGCTTGTTTGTGCGCTCGTTTCTTTGGAGGTGGCGACGACGACGGATACGTTGATGAAGATGCTGGTGCAGATATCTTTTTCCCTCGATATGGTTTGCTAGGTGCCGCGACAGATTTCACCCCCGTCATCCTTGACGCAAAAACTTGTCAGTTGAACAGGGCAGATGAGAACAATGTTGGTCAAGCGATTGCAATCGATGTAGATGATGAATCGCAGGCTGCCTTAGACCGGTTGCTCACCTAGACCTTGAGTCCCACACGTCCCCATGTATAACCCCACTGCTCCCTAACCAAGATGCAGCTCTGACCTCGACAGCTCCCATGCAACCAGCACCGCTCACAACGATACATCCACGCCCCTCAGCCTCGAGCCGCACTAAACATCCTCATCGCCTCCACCTGCTTATACCACGTCTCCCTCCTCTGTACAGCCCCCTCTCTATCCCGCACCACATACCCAATCTTCTGATTCTGCCTCACAGCCCTCTCATTCCCCCGCTCCACCGCCTCACCCTCCGAAGCCTGATACCTCGTCGGCGTGAGGACATGCACTTCCCCTCCCACCCTTTCAACATCCCGCACGAATTGATCTGAGGCATGATCAATAACACTGGCAGCGATGTTGTTGTAGTAGTAGTAGGGTAGACTGTACCCCACGAAACGCCCAATTTCCACAGTCGCTCTCGGGCTTTCGCGCGCGCGACTTTTCGCTCGGCGAGTTCCCAGGCGTCGAGTGAGGAGTTGGTGGGGGTGGGGGAGTGCAGGCGTTGGGTTATGGCGCGGGAGATGAGTTGGCGGTATTCGGTTGTGGGGGGGTTTGTATTTGGGGGGTGGGGGAGTTTGAAGTTGTGGGAGAGCATTATTGAGGTCTGTGGAGGAAGAGGAGACGCAGGCGCCTGGAGCTGGTATTATATATGGGAACATGTTGCTCGTTGGTGGGATGGGTGTTTGCGGCTATCTGTTGCAATTCAAGCGTAGTAGTCGTTTGCTGCGCATGGCTGACAAAAGGTGTGTTACGAGATATCGCTGTCTGCGCTTCAATGAACATGGCCTGCCATTCAGCTGTATGTACAAATATCTTCAGCCGTTCGAAATCGTGGTTATCTTGCCAATCTCATATATACAAACTCTCTTCCCATCCTACAACCTAACCCCCTCCCCCAGAACCGCCCCGTACCACACCATCGCCCCCAACCCTACCAAATTAACCAACGTGCTAACCCCATGTAACACCCCAAACTTCTTGTTCAGTCTCTGCATCTCTTCACTATGCGGCCCCTGATCCCAACTCTTCTTCCCATCCCTCGTCTCCTGGTGTTTCCTCTCCCCCATAACCCTCGTCGTCTCGGGCCCCACATACACCAAATTCAACAGCCCCGTAGCAAACATGGTGCCGATGAGCCACGCATTGGATTTATCGGCCGACGCGGGGGAGAGGAGCGACCGCGGGTATGTCACCCAGAGGAAGATTGGGGCCGCGGTTTGCAGCACGAAGTAGGGTGGGAATATGGCTTTCTGGAGGGAGGAGAATTGCGCGCGGGGCAGGGCGCGGTAGGCGGTTACGCCACCGATGAAGGATTGGAAGATTGTGGAGCCGATGAGGGTGCCGTAGCTGGGGGTGGTGTTAGTGGGCGGGATGCGCGGGAAGAAAGGTGGGTGTACCTGAGAAGGTGGTATGTTGCGGGCTCTTTGAAGGCGGATAGGGACGACATTGTGGGCGCAGTTAAGTCGAAGGAAGGGTGGGAAGTGTGAATGTGGTGGAGTGAAGTTTGAATATCAAATGTCTCAGTCGATGATGATCTCACGACGCGGATGGCGCCGCATAGATCCCTGCATGTGACCCCTGTCAATTCCTGCCCCACGTTCCTGCAAGATCGCTAGCCGAAGCCCAATCCAGCCGCAAGATCTGCTTGTGCTCCATCTCATCTCAATTCGGACGATTCTTTTATTTCTTTGGACATATGGTACTGGTGTGCATCAACAGTTGGCGACAGCGCCCCTTTTCCGACCATGCTGCTCCCCTCCCTGATATCCCTCCGCCACCTACCCACGCACATCCCCACACCCGAAGACATCTTCGACTGCACACTCGGCACCCTCTTCACCGACGACCTACAAACCCAGCACGGCACCGAACACCGACACAACTATCGTCTACGCAAGCAGCCGCTATGGCGCGCTAGAATTCCTTACCGCAGATCCAAACAATGAAGAACAGAGGCGCAAGTTTGCGCACTACTTGTGGAATGCGGGCGTCCTGCTGGGCGAATTGGTTGGTGGGCGACCGGAGAGCGAATGTGCAGAGCGCGAGGAGAATCTGGGAGAGGGCGGGTGGTGGGTTAGTGAGGAGGAGGGGGAGTGTTGGAGTGTGGAGGGAGAGAGGGTGCTGGAGTTGGGTGCAGGTGCGTTGGGTGGAAGTAGCAAAAGTTGTGTGCGATGAAGAGAGGACTGATGGCGTTCTGCAGGCGTAGGAATAGGTGGGGTTGTAAGCGCGCTGGCGGGTGCGAAAGAGGTGAGTACTTCGGGCAACTGGGTATATTTTGTCTGTACTGATTGGTCGTGTAGGTCGCTATCACAGACTATCCCGCACCGCCTATCTTGTCCGCTATCAAGACCAACGTATCGAAAAACCTACCTGAGGCCGTACGGTCACGCATCACCGTCGAGGGACATCTCTGGGGCTCAACGGAGACACCCTTCGAGATGGAGCACGCACACAGCTACACGCGTATACTGGCTGCAGATTGTCTCTGGATGCCGGGGGAGCACGAGAATCTTGCGAAGTCGATGCTGCACTTCCTCTCCGAAGGACCAAGCGCGCGTGTCTTGTGTATAGCGGGGTTCCATACCGGCCGCGCAAAAGTCGCCACATTCTTCGAGGAGGTAGTACCGCAGCAGCGTCTTGCGGTGGAGGACATATTTGAGATGAAGGCGGACGGCTCGCGGCGAGCTTGGGCGAAGGAGCGGGATGGTGGGCGCGAAGACGTCGGCGAGCGGAAGAAGTGGCTGGTGGTTGCGCGATTGAAGCGCGCATGACGATAGGAAATCTTCAAGCCTTTTCGAAGCAGAGTGTGACGACGCTCGACCCAGTCTTCCCACCAAAGGTGAAGCTGGGATATTTGACTTTTCCTGAGAAGCGGAATCGTCCGCCCTCAAACCAGCTCTTCAATTCTTCTTCTGTCCAGTTGCAACTCGTGATGAGGAAGCGCCCACCCGGTTTTACAAGCGGCGCCACACGTTCGCCATATCCTTCACATATCCTACGGCCTTGCGCATCCGTGTCTTGGCTCAAGCAGATCGCGTCGAACGTGCCTTTGTCCAAGACCACATCGAACCCGTCGCCCAACCATTCGCCAGGCTGCTGGTTGAGAATGTCCCACTCCTCGAGTTTAATATCCTCATATTGATCTCCCTTACTCCCTCTGATCTCCGTTGCCAATCGCACGCTTTCACCTGAGTAGTCCACGCCGACCATTTCGCCTTCCCATTCGTCTTCTCGCAGCGCGAAAAGTAGGTGGCCGTTGCCTGTGCCGAGATCCAAGAACCGTGTCTTCTCTTTGTTCAATGCGCCTTCATCACTGAGATCTTCAAGAAAGGAAAGCATGCGCTCCTCGGCACCCGCGTCACTGAACCATATTGTTCCCTCGTCCGCCGCGTTCGATGCGAAATTGTCGCGTTCGGTCGTGTAGGCTTTGTCCCAGTAGGACTTCTGGCCGAGATCGGAGGGCGTCAGATGGGTAGGAGCAGTCATCGTGGTGTGCTGAAGTTGAGAACGAGGGTGGTATTTTTGGTGTTTGGCAGCGGCCTAGCGGGGCAGATCTTAGTTGATGGTGGGCAGAGTCTTGGCTCCCCCGACATGCCGCAATGTTCCAAAGGCGTGAACAACCATGAATGTTGAGAAGTAATTTAAAATCGGCTTGACGGGGCTCAAATCTGCTGGAAAATTATCCAGGGTCGCCGATTTTGGCTACCAGACACTACCTGCATGTTGCGCCGGTCCTTGGTGGATTGGCATCCCTGGTGCAGCCATGCTCTTCATCAGCTGGCATCGTTTGTAGTCGTGTTCGGATCTCCATGGCTTGAAGTGATCAAATCGTCCAACATATCGTTCATATGTCGTCCAGACTCTAGAGTATCAAGAGTAGTCTTAGAGCGGCCTTTGTTTGTTCTGAAGAGCGTGACCACAAGATCTGTGCCCTCCAGGGATCCAAACCTCAAGAAGCGCAAGCGGGTCACTGCCTTCAATGATGGCCAGAAGGACATCCAACTCCCGCTCAACAGTCGCACGCCGTTTAGTATGAGAACCTGGAGCGTATCCGCATGCGCTAACATGAACTGATCCAGGTCCGCTTGCTGGACTGAGCAGTTGATGAGGTGGAACGCATCAAGCGCAGGAAGAGAGCATGAGGATGCAAGAGCCTTTATTATTGCAGCCGAGTAGTGAGAGATGTGTACACTGCGGTCAAGGCTCAAAGTCAAGTGCCGAAGGTTTGGTGCACAGGAGACCAGTTGACTGGTTCCGTTCTCCCAGCCAGGGATTCGAGACCCTCCGTTGTGCGCGGCGACGAGCGACAACGTCAGAGACTGCAGGTGCAAGAAGGAGAATTGCAACGATGTAAGCACTGGCAGAGGCAGCGTCAAGACAGCGGCACCTAGGTCTGCGCCTCTGCGAAGTGTGTTGGTTCTTTTCTTCCTTGCCATGCTGAACTCTTCGAGCTGAATCTCGCTGACGACGATAGATTGAAGCACTGCTTCAAAACTTCTGGTGCGAAACTTCTGATCACGCTCAGGCATCTCTCCGTAGCGCCAGCCTCCAGGCTCGCTGTGGAATGTGCGAAAGCGGACAGCCTTGAGGTTTTCTAGCCCTCTCAAGGCCCGAGTGAGGCGCTGCGTAATGCATTTGGTATCGCCCGAGGTGAAGAGATCGTCGTAGAGTGTGGATTCGCCCTCAATATCTGCGATTTTGATACCAGGTACAAGAGAAAAGCGTTTTGGTGGTGGATATATGCCCACTCTCCGAACGGCAGTCAAGTTCTTGTAGTCGCGGTAAGTGAGGAGCTTGATACTGAGCTGAGTAGCAAACCCAGAAAAGTATGCATGGTTGGAGATATTGACCAGTCTGTCGAGCGATGGAGAACCAAGCGTCGTAGTCAACTTTGCGAAATATCGTTTGCCAAAGGTGGACAAGCTCAGGGAATGCAACCGCCACGAACTCAATCGGACCTGCTTGTACGAGTCCAAATCCAGGTCTCCAGCGATAATCTCAAAGACCTCTACAGGGAGGCGCTCGATGGACGAGGTCATGAAATATCCCGGGCGATGCTGCTCTGGAAGCTTCTTGCTCTGCCTTAACGTCTCGTGAAAGGGGGACTAAGGGGTGGAGTAATTCTAGTGGCGAATGAAGTATCGCTTGAGCATATGTCGCTGAACAAAGCAAGAATCACAAAAATGCAATGATAATTGGCAAACTAGTTCACGGCTCGAGTGAAATCACATGTTGACGACGTGTCTTGGAGTGATGTCGGGGAAGTGGAGGGTGACAGGCGCCATCCTTGGAACATGCAGGTGCGCACGAGGCCGGTCTGTGCGGCAAAGAAGCCTTCATCATCCAGCTGTCAACCCCACCACGCCGTTGCATCGCCACCAGGTACTACTTTCACCGCCGACACCACGCTCCTTTTCTCGGGGCAGTCTGGCAGTCACTAATACACAAACAATAACTGCCCCGGCTTCTCACAACAAACCTCCGTCACCGCAGCGGCCCCTAGCAGGCACGGAGGTCCGCTTTCCCCGTTCTGACAAAGACTCTCACCACAACCAGGCCGGCCAACAAACATGGACTCGATGCGCAGCCTCAACAAGTCCCTGCCGAAGACGAGACGGAAGCCCGACGTCCACCAATCTTTCAGGACAGCTGCCCTGAATGTCACGAACCTATACAAGTCCGCCCTTGCCGATCTCGATAGGGCCCGATCCGACGGCTACCAAGACGCCCTGGACGAGCTCCTCGCCTTTTTGGACCGGGAGAACGTAGGGAATGGTGGTGGAGAGGGGATGCGGATCCGGCAATGGGCAGCAGAGCGGTTAGAAGGAGCCTTGCCAAAGCAGACAGGCAGCGACAGCGATGAGGACGAATTAGACGACAAGCGCGCGCGAAGCTCCTCACCCATCATGGAGCACAGTATCGTCCCGGATTATTCCTGTACATCTGACAACATCACGGAAGCATCGCACCGATCCGACTCGGCACCACCTCCTGTTCAGATGGATGGGACCCCGGCCGAAGGAGACATGTCATCACCCAACCACGTGTTCCAGTTCTCTGCGTCGCAAGCATACCCGCCGAACAACTCGAACGACACCACAGTGAGCGACTTCACAGCCGCCGCTCGCCGTGCCTTCCCCAGCACCCGCCGCTCCTCGAACCGACCATCACAGCGAAACCTGCAACGATCTGCGGCCCAGAATTTGCTGCAACTCGGAAATGGCGCAGGCCAGAAGCGAAGAATCATGAATGACTTTTTCAACGTCGACGGTTTCAACGACCGACGGGACGGCTCTTCGGGCGGACCCAAGCGTGGCCGGATGACGTGAGTCAGCCATTCAAACATACTGGGCGAACAGCGTCCGACGACATCATGACTTCTTTGCATCATCCCAGGCGAACAGCGGGCAGGCATTTCCTTCATGCATAGGGCGGGGCAGCTTATTAGACGCATTGTGAGGTGTTTGACGGTGTTTATAATTGTTAGGCAGGGCAGTCGAGATACCACATGAGCATTTTCAACCTCGATTCGTGCAAGGATGAGGTAGAGAAGAATGTGTAGACATAATATACACTATACATATATCCGGATATTCACTGTCATATGCCTATGCACGTGAAGCTGTGACGCGACGTTGATACATGTTAACATTTACTCAAGCCAGCATCCCATGGTCGATATCGTATTCATGAAAACCACCGATACACACCCAGCCCTACCATGATACTTGCAGTACTCGTAACCGCTACTCTCCTACTCCTCATACCAAACATGCTCTTACTGGCTCTTATTGCGGCTTCGGCTTCGCGCAGTTGTGAGTGGCCTGAGACGTATGTGGCGGCGCCCAAGCCGACGAAAGTTGCAGTGCCTGGAGTGTTTAGTAGGTTATGAGTGATGGAATGGACATGTGTCTACCAATGACACGGCAAGGCGTGCAGTCTTCAAACTCTGGTCTTGAAGAGCTAGATGCGGGCGATGTGACTTCTTTCGACATAGCTCAGGTGCGTGGTTGTATGAGTGTTGTATCAAGGAAATGTTTTCGGCCGATGTTTGACCAGACGGCATGAGAAAGATCAAAAGATTATTTTCGTACTTGCTGTCATCGGGGCAAATCAGCCCTAAAGATGGATGTATTGGACAAATGCAGGGCAAACTCGTCACCGGCGCGTTGGAAAGACGGCGTGGGGGCCAAGAGCAAAAGTAGCAGACATGATCAGACGCTCACAGGGCACCCCTGTCGTCCCGCATCATCGCTTTTCACCCGCCAAAACGCCATTTCTGCCCCACCAACTCTAATCCGACCTCTAATCTTGCGCCCTGCCTTGGACCCCACTCTCAGCGGCCTTCACGTTCGCCCTGTACCTGGCACGCGAGGCTAGACCGCCGAAGCTACCCCGCCAACTTCACATCATCCCATGGCTTGCAGGTAACACGCAGGAATCATGAGCACCATTGAAGCTCTGTACATCTTTGATGAACACAAGTAAGCTACAGCGCTGCTATGCGATCAATTGTAGCTCATACACAATAGCACACCTCTCCTCGAACACACATACATCGGCCGCCCACCCGCCAGCAGCACACTGCTCCCGCTCTACCTCTCACATCCCGACCCTCGCCCGTCGCTGATATACCTGCCGAACACAAACCCGCCCACGCTCCTCTACTCGATAATACAGGACCAGCTGCTCTTCCTGTGCCCCTGCTCCTCTGACACGGAACCGCTACAGGTCCTCGAGTTCCTGCACCGCGTCGCAGATGTGCTGGAAGACTTCCTCGGCTCGCCGCTGCTGGCGAGCAAGATCGAGGCCAACTACGACGTCGTGGCACAGCTGCTGAATGAGATGGTTGATGGCGGCATCATTGCGTCCACGGAACCGAATGCGCTGCGCGATGTCGTCGATGCGCCCAACTTCATGAAGAGCTTGCTGGGAGGTGTCGGGCTGCCGAGTTCGACGCCCAGTTCTTTGGCGCCTTCTGCGACGCCATTCTCGCTGTCTTCGAGACCGAGTCCACGGCTGGGGCCGACGAATACTGCTGCACATAGCTCGACGGTGCCCTGGCGGAGAGCAAATGTTAGACACACGTCGAATGAGATGTATGTGGATATCGTGGAGACGCTACAAGTTACCATGTCGCCGTCTGGGCGCCCGCTTTCCGCGATTGCAAATGGCACAATTGCATTCACAGCGAAGGTGTCTGGCGTGCCGGATCTGATACTCCAGCTCGGGTGTCCGGGTGGCATACAAAGCGCCGTCTCATTACCCGTCTTTCACCCATGCGTACGACTAAACAGGTGGAAAGAGCGGCCCGGAGAGCTCTCCTTCGTCCCTCCAGACGGCCGCTTCGTCCTGGCTGGCTATGAAGTAGACCTGCTCGGCGACGCCGCCCTCGATGCCTTCTCCAAATCCGCAACCTCAAAATCCCTCCCGAAACTAAACGTCCCCGCCACCGTATCCGTACACCCTTCTCTCGGCCCCTCTGGCTCCGACTTCGAAGTCCGCCTGCAACTAAACCCGCGCTTCACAGGCAAATCGCCAGCCCCACACCCCGGCTCAACCAGCGGTCTCGGCCGCGGCGCAGGCTTCGCATCATCCGGCACCACTGCGGCCCCTGCAATTGAAGAAATGGTCGTTCACGTCCCGCTCCCAGCGAGCGTCAAGAACGTCGCCGATTTGCGCATGGTACGGGGCACAGGAGATGCGGGCTACGCGCCCGGGGACCGCAGCATCGAGTGGCGCATCAGCAGCCGCGAAATCAGCCTCCTGATGGCCCAAGACCGCGGCGGCGGCGTCGGCGCAACAGCCTCATTACGCGGCACCGTGGTGGGCGAATCTGAAGACGCGCCCGACCTCGAGCCCGTGTCGTTTTCCAACGACTACGACGACGACGAGAACCACGAACATACACCCAACCTTCCCAAGAAAAAAGACAGCAGTGCAGAGAAGAACAAGACCCTCATGCCCTCGTGCGCGACCGTCAGTTTCTCAGTCAAGGGATGGCTGCCGAGTGGGATCAAAGTCGAGAGTCTGCAGCTCGATCAGAAGAGGAGTGTGGGCTTGGGCAGTGGGGTGACGCCGTACAAGGGGGTCAAGTATCTGTGTGTTAGTCGCAGGGGGGTCGAGGCGAGGTGTTAGTACTAGACGAATACAGAGAGTGTGAGTTACTTTCCTGTCATGGGGTAGAAGTGGAAGTGCAAGTGAGAAGGCAAGTCAGATGTGATCCGAGACTCTATACAACACGCGAAATGAAGCTACATATCCTCTCGCACAATCACCCAAGCTACCACATTCCCGTCACAAATAACACGAACTGTCTTCTCGGTGGACTGCAGGTATACGCATCGCTGTCAGCTGTGGGTGGTTGCGTCGCGAGGCTGTGTCGTTCATGGCTCACGTGCGAATTCTTCGGAGCAGGCGACGGTGTCTCGAGCATGTCTTGTGTTTGGCCGTGGTAGGATGGTGGTGGCTGGAGGGATACGCGGCGTCCTCTTTCGGTGCTTGTGTTCAGGGGGAGGGATGATGAATTGTGATCGCTTGCAGTGGGATGAGGTGGGCTGAAGGTACACGCACCGCTATCAGCCGTCGGCGTTTAGGACGATGCCGTTGTGAGCACACATGGTCGAATCGATGCTCGTGTTCAAAGGGAGCGTGTGCTCCGGAGTAGTTGTCAGTTGAGGTGGGCTGAAGGTGTACGCAGTGCTATCGGCTGTGGGAGGTATGCAAGATGTCGACTGTTGTGGGCGTACATGGTGCTTTTGTCTAGAGCGGCTGGTCAAGAAGTAGATGTGATGAGGGATCCTGAGCGTTGGGTGGTTGGGGTGGGCTGGAGGTATACGCGGCGAATTCGGTTTGAGCGAGGACAGGAAGGAGTGTGTCGGTTACTCGCGGTCGGGACATGAGCTTCTCTTGGTTTCCGCTTCACGCGTACTCATCCCCAGAACCACGTAAAGGTGGAAGCTCGCTCTGAGGTGGGTCTTACACCCGCTTGAAGCGGGATGCCCAAGCCTGTGTAGTATTAGTTTAGTTTAGTCATTTGATAGGTTTCGGGATCGATGATGAAAGCGAAGCCTCGCTTCAGAAGCATCCATCCTTCAGCCGATACCCGACCACACCAACGCAGAGACCGCTTGCACGGAGACACTTTGACCAAGTCAGAAGGCCCAATGTACAGTTGCCGGATTTCTGAGAGGACGTGGAAGGGCAAGCTGTCAGGTCTGGTTTCCAGAGCGTCGAGGATTTGCTGCTGTATCATCAGCTGTCTCAACGCAATGCCATTACCTTCTACTTTTTCACGCTTTTTGAAAAACCAGCAGACGAAACCTAAGATCGCCGCGCAGACGAGGCCGCCGAGCGCAAGGTCGGTGCTGAAGTGGTCTTTCTGTATTGTTCAATAAGCAAAGTTGTCCACAGCACAATCTTGCCAAGCATATGTCTTCATAAGAGCCAATAGCACTTCCACACTGATCGTGAAGAAGATGCTTGTGATCGATCCCAGTGTTTATTTGGAGAGAGTCAATGCACGGTGCCCAGTCTGTCATGCGTCGATTTGGCGCCATGGAAGTCTTGCTTAGAGGCGGGATTTGTAATGATTAAGAGGTTGTACGAAGGTTGGTACGTCATGGTAGATGCTCCGTCATTTCACTTATGATGTGCGGAGATTCGATGATGGCGAATAATGCCGGACGCCAGTAGGGGTGAGAACACGAGGGTGATGATGCACTTACGAAGAACTGTGCCTACAATGAGCATGTTAGCAAGATGATTTTCTGTGAGCGATTAGATCGAGTGCAGGGAGGAGGAACTGTAATGAAAACGTACCACAGTCATCTTTGCAAGAGAGCTGTTTTATAGTTTTGAATCTCTGTCAACAGTCAGATGTTGCAGCAGGGCGCCGACGCGTCTCTATTAGCACGTACATTACAACTATATAAGAAGTTAGCAAGTCGCATATAAAGCGAGTTGGAAAAGGCTTGAGCGGGCTGCGGACCATACGTACAAGTCAGTGTGTTGCAAACAGTGAGGAGAGAAGGGAACAGGAGCGAGACAAAACGTGGAGGTATAAACAAACAGACGTGAAGCACCTGCTCTATTATTTGCAAGGTTCTTTCTCTTTCTACGAGCTCTTGCTATAAAATCACATGATGGTAGAAAGAGCACCTTGTTCAGTGCTGAATTGGAAAGCATGGGTCGTGGCATGCATCACGAATTAGACACAGTGACAAGGAATCGAACAATCGAACCCAGGAGTATCAAGTTTCTTAAGCCGATTCCACAAGTTCCATATTATGTACGGGTAATTTGTTGTCAGGTCCTTTTGTGTACCTTCATTGCCCCATCCTGCCAGTCGTAAAACGAGGACAGTGTACCTGACAGGTACACTCCTGATATGGAGGCGGAGTACTCAACTGCTCATCTATCCCCACACACTCCTTCAACTTCCGCAATCCAGCGTACCTCCTAAATCTCAAGGATATCGACTCCATCCATCTTAAGTCAAGTATGGGCCTCGTAGCCAATCCTGGTGCTGGTATGTGTCCTGGCCACCCAGGGCGAATGTAATTCGCCAATAATGGTTTTTTAATCCACGTTGTTAGCGCAAGCCACTCCTCTTCATCGGGAGCTATGCACGCACCGAAATCAACATAGCGCGAGAAGGACAGGACGTATTCGCGTACAGGAGGGCAAGGAAGTGCCTTAGTCCAATTGAATTGACCGTCGAAGTGCGAGTAAGGTTCAATATCGATCGTGATATCGGTTGGGCAGAGCGGACACCTGTGACGTTTGTACGTGAAACCGCGATGTATATTCTCGGGCTTGCGCACATGATTGATGGCACCGTGAAACGCTTCCTTTATGTGCAGACCATTGAATATTTCCCCAGCATGTGGGCAGAACAAGTCTATTTTATCATGCCACAGCTGTTGAGAGTCTTCTTGCAAAGTGACCAGCTGATACCATCTGTCTCTGAGCAATAGTCGGTCGTGGACAAAAGTTGTCGAGGAATCGTTCCACCAACGCCATCCCGTTGGCGTCTCACTGGTGAAATGCAACTTCTTGGAACCATGATGGGGAAAGTGCCGGTGACTTCGCATCGTCTCGTGGACAGCCAGCCAAGGAAAATTTCTTCCATGCGACTGAAATGTAGACACAGAGTAGCTTCCTGCATATTTGCATGTAACTGCTGGCAGTTTCCGGCATTTTTTCCTCCACTTTGTAATCTCAATCGTCCAGCGCGCATGAAATACGCCACACGCATAACATATTAAGTGCTCGGGATAAAATTTGTCAAATGCAGTTACTAGGAGCTTCGCGCGCTCGTACTCATTTCCCTTCTTGTTCAGTACAAAAAAAGGATCTTCGGGTTTCGAGACTTTGCGGCGCAGTGTGTGGCTGGTGAGGGATAGGATTGCTAATGTTGACGGCGGGAGTAGGGAGAAGATTTGTAATGTTATGGCTGACGGGAGGGACTCGAGGTGTGAAACGGTTGGTAATAGAGGGCTCTGAAATGAGTGTTTGAGCATTACTTGCGGTGGTAAGATGGCCTTGAGAGTCTGGGCGTTCTTGGAGAAGAGGCTGGTTGGAGACATTGTGATTTAGTATAGATTTAAATGCAAAATTCTGTTGTCTTCATATATGATGTGTGGAGAAGGATTCTCTCGGTACCAAGAGGTGGAGCACGCTAATAAGTTAGGGTTCCTACGGGGACCATACCTAATCAGCGGCGCACTCGAGCACACATGAAAAGCAAAATTATTTTGATGTACTCTCAAGACTTCAGTGCAGCTATGAGTGTTTTGTCAAATAACGAGTCCGCGAACCAGGTCTGCTACAGATATGCTAAGTATTGAAACAAATGAACCTAGAATGCTATTCCACACACTTGTCAAAAGTCCAGCCCACCACACGTTTCAGTGGGCAAGTACGTTTGGCGTGTTGTTTTCTGGAAGTCAACTCTGGAACCAAAGCTACATTTGACTCAGCCTTCTCATATCAGCTTATGTTATGTCCTAACACTCAGAACACTTGCTAACATCCGTCAACTTCCTCCCGTCGTCGTTGACCCAAGTTATGTTTATTACATACAACAGCAACAACCCTTTTCCTTCTTAGCCTTTTCAGCTTCTTCCCATTCGCGTGCACGGGCATCTGCCCGCTCATTCGGAGTAGTATAACGTTTCTGGTTCCCTGGCCCACCTGTTCTCGTGGAACTTGGAGCAGTTTGCATCTGTCCACTACCCATTGGGGTTTGTGAAGGGTACTTCAAGTCCTTAGGAACAGTTTGCGCTCGTTCCCAAGGCGAATCCCTGTGCGTGGTCGGCATCGTTCTTTATCTCAATGCAGACACACTTTTGCTTGTTGATTATGCTGGCAGTCCAACAATTCGCGATCCTCGATCACTACGAATTTTTATGGTGGATTTTGACTTCACCTTCAGGTATACAGGCTTATCGCGTTTCTTCTGTTTTAAAAGTATCAGATGCTGATAGTTCAGGAACTTCGACAGGTTTGCAGACGCTTATGTACCATATGTAGCGCTTTGTTCTGTCCGGATTCTACCTGGAACGGGCTGCTACAATAAGATATTCTGTGGCTTTGTGCACTTTGTTATGTATCTCCAAGGCCTTGGAGTTGGTTCTTTGTCGGCAATTTCTAGTTCCTTTGCGAGTTCTGTATTTGGTTTAAAAGTCTCAATGTCGGTAAAAACCGCCCAATAGAGCATGCTGACGAGGATGTGTTGAGTAATTATCTACTAAGATTGTCATGATGCGGGCTCGCATTCATTCTATAAGCTGCATTTAGTGGAAAGAGTATGCACAAACGCCGTCAGACGTCCCGTCTGTATTATAATTGCTATAAATCGCGCCATAGAGATGGCATCTCAGCCAACTACTCAAGACTGACAGATATGTAGAGATTCAGAGCTTATATCATGTCCATCTCTAGTTTTGCATTATTCAAACTTTCGTTGAATCATCAATGTCTACTTTCACCGTTTCGTCACACAATAACCTTTTCATCTGACAATGCATTTATATTCACCCTGCACCAATAAATTAAGTTATCTCAAACACCACTTAAATGACTGCTTCTCCCTACATGACAATGCATTTAGTGTTCTTCTTTCCCTTCTTTTCCTTCTTCGGTGGTTCTGGCCTATACTGACTCTTATCATACCAGGGTCGTCCTGTCGCCTTAGCTTCCTTCTCTCGCTCTGTCCTCTGTTTTTGGGTTAAATCTCGACCAGCCACTCGGCGTCTTGACTGGCTTGGCTGATATGTGTTTAACATGGTTGCAGTGATCTACCAACGCTCGCCCTCTCTTTCTTCGGACGATCTGTGGATTGAGATTGTGTGAGTGCAGACAGTGAGCTTTAGATTTATTAAGCTTCGGCGCAGATGTTCAAAGTGCACTTGGGTTCGGAAGTCGGTATGTGTTTCCTATATTGCTGATATACTTCCACTATCTGAAGATTGTCAATACCTGTTGCTGGATATCCTGGATTATGCTGCTACCTACGAGCTCTTAGGCAAGTATCGCAAAAGTGAAAGGCGAACTGTTGAAATGCTCCGGGATGCACTTTGGGAAAAGGAAGATGAACGCTGTAGCAATATTCCTATCCTTGATGTTGAGAGCGGTGGTATGTGTCAGGAAGCTCACTCATTGGACTCAAAATGCCTGCAGTTTAAGATTGAGGTCAGGTATTTCTTATAATGCCTGCAATTTCTGGTTCGGTGTAGAAGTTTGAACCAGAGTTTATATATTCCCATTGCGTGCATAGAGTCAGGATGTGACAACAGCACTGTGACAGTAACCTCAGGCAAGTGAATCCAACTTGTGGCGCAGACATTTATGAATACTGCATTCGCATAAGTGTAGTCACAATATGAATCAAACAATGGTTTAGTGCAGTCGGGAAAATTTGCACTATTCAAGACTCACACCAATACTTGTGATTCCAAGAACGCAGTTGATGCCAACTACCTCTTTTCGATGCGTTCTCACGAGGTAGTCCAGGCTACACGTATTTTACAGACAGCAAGGCAAAGAGCTCCTGGTGCGGTATATTACAATAACGTACATCTCATTGTCAACAGCACGAGGGCCGATTCGACGGCTCTCATGGGCATAGTACTCGACAGACCAAAGTTGTATTTCTATATGTACTCACCGATGAATTGCTATCTATCTGCTGAAATACATCCTGCTCCCACGCAAGTTTGCCATTGTGAACGACTAAACACCTTCCCTTTCACATGATGACACAACATCCATTGCTCTTACGCCGGTTTTGCTGGCCCCGATCGCTAGTCTGACGTTGCTGTTGACCTGGAGGGGCAGCAAAGTTTGCTTGCATATTGTATCCAGGGTTCCTGCGAGGCTGGGCGTTATGCGCAAGAATGGCGGCGTGGCCAGGACTGTGGCCATCCTCTACGCGCATATGTGGACCTTGACACATGGCGAAGCCGTGTGTTGTGGAGTCCTAGTGTTGGCGAGCAGGTTTCTCTCGGTTGTCGAGAGAAGTGATGGTTCTGATGTTGCTGTGGTGTAGTAGGAGCGGTTTGCCGAGAGTGTGGTATGCCACCGGGGCTATGTATCGATATATGAAGTTATGAGTGAGTCGTATGCGATGCCAGATCTTCTGCTGACGCAGCGAAGTATGCTTTATATGCCTTAGAGTTAATGAATGTGTGACCCTAATCCCATGTGTCACTGCCCTTCAGTCACCAAGCGTGTATTCACGAACTTGCATGTCACAGCCGAAGATAAGTAATGTATAGGTCAAGACCAGTTGCTATTGGCGACATTCAAGGAATATACTGGCTTCCCCGATCATCTCCACAGCCACTTCTTCCACCCCGTCTCCTCCTGTACTCGAGGTCTCGCATCAGCATCGATGCCAAACCTCTCCTCCTCTCCTTCTCCACTCCATCCCATCCGATACCTTCCACCCTCGAACAGCTTCTCGAACTCTTTATCGCTCATCCACTGCGCTTCAGTGGGCAGGTCCTTCATCATCTGACTGCCTGCTACCAGACTAGCTTGAGCGGCGATGCTGCACGGATTCTTGGGCAAGACATTTCTGAGGTCGATGGTGAGAAGAGATATGAGTGCGCAGACGATCATGGCGATTAGCAGGCCTTGCAAGACACGGGTGGAGACGAGTTTTTGTCTGAGGCGGTGGGTCGAGTAGGATGTTTGTTGTGCGGGTATTGTGGTGCTGGTGGACGTGAGATTGGTGAAGCGTCCTTCACGGGACATTATCTGGGCCTGCTTGTTGTCAGTTCAAGATCCATTAATGGCATAGGTGAGTCTCTAGGCCCGTTCCGAGAAGAATTTTTGACGTACCGCAGCTCTACCATAAACACTGTTCATGCGCGCATACAACTTGTCCCAGTTCTCAAGTTGTAGAAGGCTAGTTTCCATCGTATTCGTCGTCGAGTTACGAAGGAAGGCAGTGAAAACATTATCCAAGGACGTCGATACGTTGCCTTTTGAACCACCGAATACTCTGCTAGCCATGTCCAGCTGTGTATCCGGAGTGGCAGATATGTTCCGCACCGTTTGTTCATCCGCCTGCAGGGATCGTAACCTCCATCCAGGCATTGAGAACCGTGCCGAGGCCTGCAATTCCTGGACAGAACTCCAGCAAAGTACAACATTGAGCTCCTTCGCCTTTTTGCCTTGCCATGTTCCGTAGAGTCCATATGACGTAGGGCACGGGCGGTCGTTGTACGGGGAGGATCGGTTGGAATAGTCAAAGTCGAAATTTGACCATTCCCCAAACGGACCATCTCCAGGATTCGATACTGACACCGTTGGTACCCCATTGGTTGTGCTACCAGTACAATTATATTGATTCAGCATTGGCCAATTCATGTCAGCACCAGTTTGGTTCATTTTCTTGAACCATTCATAGGATATGACGAGCTGATCTTGCGGAACAACTCGACATGTGAGGGCACCTCGTCTCACTGGTAAGTCCACGGTGATGGATGACACGTTGTTTGCTGTCTCGGTTGTCTCGGCTGTTGATGTCAAATTCGGCAGGACATACGATTCGGAAGTCCATTGCGAACTGACCATCTGGTCGTAGACAACCAAGCGCGCACTCAGAGCTGTGGTGTAGTTGAATGTTGCGTTGAGACCCGAAAGCATACTTGCCGGATCGTAGAAGCTATCCAAACGAGTGACGTTCGTGAATTCTTGACGCGCCATAGGCACCGTATTATACAAGCCTGACACGGCTATCGTCAGGAATGAAGCGACAACAACCTAGGGGAACTTCAGCACTAGTTCTGCAAAATGAGGAGTCTGGTCTGCCCAGATTAACTAACGCTGAATGTCGAAGCACCGACCGCGATGCGTCCGTTAACGAAGGCTGTCCACACGGCATCTGCCTTCCATGTGTAGATAGTCTTGTCCAAGACACTCGTCTTGGCCCTTGCAAACCCTTTCTTGAGTTGTACATAAGGATCAATTAGATGAAGATCAAAATCAGAGCCGGAAAATTGCAGCTTTATCATGACCATGACTAGGAAATTTTATATCAGCGTGTGTCCAAAGGATGTTCAACAGACAGCAGGCAAGATACACGGACTGCAAAATGCCCGTTCGATGATAGCAGCGCAATGGTGAAGAATTTTGTCGGCTGCTATCACAAAGGCGGAACGGAATGACTTACCTAAAGCTGGAACGAAGCTCGAACCGTATTGTGTCCACTTGCTTGATGAAACGTCGAGTAGACCATGGTTGCGCTCAGACTGACGAAACAAGACCTCCAGAGCCACAACTATGCCCAAAGGAACTACGAGTAATGCGATCCGAGAGATCCACATAGCAGAAATTGGCTGCCATGGCTTCGCAGTAACTGATATAGGCTTCGAGATATCGGTGTCGCAGCTCTCAATCATGAACTGCGGCCTGCTCGCGTGCTGGACGAAGTCCTCTGCGTACACAAGGCCATACTTTCCTGACAACAAGCTTTCGATGCTTTCCAAAGAGACGAATCCAGCATTGCTCATTAGTAAGTTGAGATTCTCGCTTTGTGAGAGCATAGAAGCAAGTCGAGCGATGGAAGCTGGATCCTGCGGTGTTGTTCGACGCACGGGACGCAAACCTAGATAAAGACATAGCAGGACCAAAGCACAAAACAGCGCCTCCATGGCTCTCATCGTAGACCTTCGAACAAACAAGCGCTCCTGTCTGTAAGTTGCCTTGCCGGTGGATTTTGTCGCGGAGGCATCAGGCTTTGTCACGAGGAGATATCGTTTCGCAACTTGAGCAGCAACGCTCGTGAAGATTTTCTGTGCGCCGCGAGACATCTTCTCGCTATCCCAAAAGTTTTGCATATCGTTCGAGTCCATGGTTCTCATAATTAGTCCAGCAAAGACGTTAGCGAAATCAAGATTCTGTGGCCTGATTGGATATTTGCGTGCCAGCTCGGCAAGGAAATTGTTATCCAGTTGCTCCACTGTGTTGAGTACCGCATCGGAGATAAAGGACGTCAGTCCAGCCGGGGTTGGCAAGGCAGTGCCATTCTCGACGTTGATCAATACCCCATTCTGATCCATCGTTATCGTACTCTGCTGGAGCTGAACAGAGGGTTTGCAGAACAGGGCGGTGCTGTTGGTGATTTGCGGCCCAACCACTTTATGGAGGACAAAGACCACCAAACGATCTCGATTCGTGTCTTCGACTGGGCCATCACATGTACCAGGTAAGACACCACCGTACCATCTTCCAAATGGCGTGCGGTTGTCTACCACAAAACTGGTGTTGTCATTGGGAAATGCAGACATGTGACAGTCGTTGTTGTGCACTCGCAGGATGTTGTATGCAGTGGTACAGCCCGTATAATCAGGGCAATACACTGTGACGTTACGATCGATAGTTGCTGGCTCACACTCAAGGTCCGTTCTCAAGATCTTGCTTTCACCGGTCATATTGTAGTTATCCACTGTACATTGGTTAGCAAAGCGCTCATTCTGTCGCGCGATGTAGCTCGAGAGGCTAAATGATGGTTCTTTTGCGAGTATTGTGTAACGCTTTGGGAGATAAGGGCTGAAAGCTGAAGTATTTACCTTGAACTTGGTTTGATGAGCGAAACAGCTCCACCGCGTATTCGGCATTAGTCCCGGGGAGATAATCAATCTCATTGAGAAGAGGTCCAACAGAGGCAAGCCCGGCAACGTCATCAACCTTGGACGCATTGTGGCCAGAAAACTGGAATTGCTCCATCGGACTTATTGGGAGTGGTTGCGGAAGTAGTACTAGTCGCCGCGTAAACACGCCTGTAGAAATAACGATCAAGACCTTGAGCAGAAAGGAGGCGAATAGCGTCAAAGTAACAGGTAGATGGCGGTTCTTGCAAGAACGAATGAAGGCCAAAACGGGATTTGGCGATATGTAATCCAGGAGGAGACTGTTTGCGACGGACTGTGGCCCCTTTGCCATTTCTTCCCATGGTTGCATTTGCCTTGTGCGATACTCGACCTGAGTCCAGAATGCAGCAATGATGGTGAGCACTATTGGATTGGTTAGTCGAGTACCAACAGCGGACAAGACAGTCATTTACCTGCAGTCGGGCCATAGGTGTAAACGTAGTAGAGATCAGACTCTGTGGATGCAAAGCCATCGCGGTCCGACGACACTTTCAAGATGATCTCTAAAGTCATGACGAGTAGCGCAAATACAAGCGAGAAAAGGACGAGCACCCAGCGGCGAAGCATAAGAGGCCTCCAAGGCTTGGTTGGGGATGACTGTTCACTTCCATCATGACCTCGGTACTCCAAGCTTTGTTGAGACAGTAAAGGCTGTTTTGCTGGTCGTTGAAAGAAGTCTGTAGGTTGCGCCCGTCTTGTAGAATCATCATCGAGGGTAAGTGTGGTAAATATCGGCCCTTTGTCGTTCTGTTGATACTGGACTGGTGAGGCGACGGGCCCTGCCTTGCGTTTCTGAAACGGAAAAAAAGGCATGTGGTACAGGACTCGCGGCAAACAACATCAAACTGGATGGACAACAGGAGATCCCGTGACAAGGCAAAACTTGCAAGCCACCACAGTCGATAATGTATAGAGCTGCTGATGAACCTCGATTGCCGACGGTAGGGCGCGTCTGCCTTTTCGACTGACAGGAACCTAGCGTTGCGGCTCCACAGAGTTTCAGCCCCATTTCTGGGCGCTTAATTGATTGGGCGAGGCTGCAGGGATAACACCACTAATGCCGCCTGCAGCACCGCGGCACTTCAGATTCTTCAAGCAGGGCAGATTTTGTAATGATCTCCGGCAAAGTCGTTGTGTGATGTAGTGCCACAACAGAGTCGAAGTGGTGTGTAAGAACTTCGGAGTTTCCCGGTACGTTCAAACTGCGCGGTTCCCCAAGAACGATCGACATACTTTCATGGAAGTGAACGTCTTTTCAGATGTAGTACCATGATTACTCCCAACATTTCAGGCAACAGCTGTCAATCCTACAGGTCCCGCAAGCGTAGGAACTGTTCGTTGGCGTCCCGTCCCGGACCGATTAGGCTAACAACGATGAAGACCCACCGTTCCAGCCTCAAGACGGATCAAAGCCGCCTGGCACGATGATCTCTGCTTCTGTTTCGCCACCAGTGGTAGATTTATCCTTCAATCGCAATGGAACAAGCCGTTAGTGACTCCGCTACCGTCATGTGCACTTCCGAGAAGGTCTACCTTGCTACCTGTACGAATGTTGACTGCAAGTACTCCTCGCATCAATATCCTGGCCTCGGAGCTTCCTTTCTTATTGATCGAAACATCGAGCTAGGAGCTATGCGTTGGGGAGATGATAAGCCCAAGATAAGTCTCTTTGCTCGCAACTTGAGTGTAGCTTGCATTGCCATCCATCTCCGGTACAGCCAAGCTTAATGATCCAGTCCGGTCCGTCCGTTATCTGGCACTTTGGTGAGTCGCGCTAATCAGAACTTTTGACTCCCTCTCCAATTGAGTAAGAACGGGTTTTTACTCGATGGGGGAATAGCTTTGGCGGCCGTTCGTGAAGCTCTGGGAGGAAGCGGTGGAAGCCCTCCACCCCGATGCACTCAGCCGGTTGATCGTGGGTGCCGATAGCAGCGTCACCGCCGCAATTGCACTATCAAGACCGTAATCGATTGGTTGTAGTCAAGGAGTACTACGTCCTTTTGGCTTTTTGAGTTGGGTCTGCGCAGTCTGTGAGCCGTCGTGCGTGTGTGATGCATTGCCCACTGAAGTTAGAAAGGTCTTTGACGTTGGGAAATAAACCGGTACACCAGCACACCGCCGATGAAAGAAGGGAGGAAGGAAAGGACTGTAGCCCAACCTAGTGAAGTAATTGAGATGATGGTATTGATTGCTCGAACTTCGTGCCGCAGAAAATCTAGCTCATAATTTCTCCCCCTCCTTGTAGACCCTCTTCCGATAGACGCCCAAAACGTGGAACTGCAATACGCCTGTACTCCGGCCCTAGTATGTAACAATGAAATAGCAAGCGGCGAGCGGTTCTGTTGCATAGACTGTGGCTGCTGGGATGCCCACTTCAATCTTTGACGCCATACGTCCGTCTGTGTCGATCGTTGTGTAATCGGCTTCGAGAAAGAGTCGCAGATCAGACCACCGGGTGAGTGTTGCTTAGAAACTCAGCGACAGCCTAGCAGATCGAGACAGCCACCACCCCAAGAGTGCATAGCTTGCCGCCGAAGACTGTCCAAAGACGTGTCAACCTTGAAAACGAAGATCTCCTAGAATCCCTCGTCTTTCTGGTTCTTTCCTGCCTCTTTCTCCAAGGCTTCCTTCTCAGCCTCAGTCATTTCAATGAGATCCGCGCCTTCGAGCCTGTAGCCCTTTGCATCAACGATGTGCTCAGCGGATGTTGAAAGGTACAACTGATGCAGCCTTGGCAAAAAGTATTGCATGACCTGATCCGCAAGATTTTTAGCAACGAGACCTTTGTCAACCCAGAAATGTCGAACAAAGACACCCTTGCAACCACCACGGTTGGCGGCTTCGGGTGCGCCGTTTGCCTCCACGCAGGGCAGGACGCGGATGTCCTCGGGTCGGTTGAAATCGTAGCGCAGGTAGTTTCCAAATGCTGCTTGCTCGTGCGCCCAGTCGAGCTTCCACCTTGCACAGCCGGGGTAGCGTTTCTCAGAGGGACATTCCGCCCATGCCTTGTACATCTCCTGTGTACGCTTGCTCTGTCGGGCGATGACAAAACCAGTGTTCAAGTACCGATTGCCCTTCTCGTCGTAGTTCTGCGGCTCGTTGGGGTCAATGGACATCATGGCGAGAGTGTCGTCGGTCATGTTCCAGTAGTTCATGAGCCACTCGAGCGGGAGATGCGGGTAGTGGAACATGACATCCGAGTCCATAAAGACAATGTAATCGTGCGTTTTGAGCGCTTCCTTCATCATGGGCACCTTGACCCAGGTGCCCCAGCGGTCGGCGTAGTCAGGGGCGCGGATGAATTTGTAGTCATAGCCGTGGATTTGCGCTGTCAGAACGTTAGTCTTTCCTTGGTTTCCATTGACTCAGCGCCCAGTGTCGTACCAAACATGTAATGACTTAGCATACCCGCAGAAAGCGGTCGCATGCCCTTCCACTTAAGCTCCGTATTCATGAGCTGCCCCTCGCCCTTCAACGGACGACTGTCAATGTCCAGTATAAGCACCTTCTTGCCCAGCTTCTCCTTAAACTTGGGCTCGTTGGCCAGGCGGTATACGTCGCCGTCCTCGTCTGTGAAATTGGCCGCATCGACCGGATGTAATATGGGGCCATAAAGGGCTTTTATTATCGTAGGCATCGTGAGATCTTCGGGATCTATCGTTACGTTCTGAGTTTGTGGATATCTGTCAATCAGTCAATCAGAGTCCCGCGCATGATTCCCTGTACCGTACGTTTGAGTTGCGAGCTTGCTTGGCATATAGCCATGCGGAAAGCTGTAGTAAACCAACGCAATAGCCATGGGGATCATGGCAATGAGCAGCACACGCCGCCACCGGCCCTGGGGCCCCATGGTGGCTAAGGAGTGGTACGAGTATTCTCCCATTCTCCTGCGTGTCTCCAAAATGTGTTCTGAGTCTTTACAAAGGCCCAGCGGAGGTTGCGTGCCTGCCCTGGTTGACCGAAAGTTCGACGGAGCGCGCGGAAAGGGTGGCCAGAGTCTCTGACAATAGAACGTTACCCAACAATACCGCCGTGAGGAAGAAGATTAAAAGCGTTGCGAAAAAAGTGCGAAACGCAAAAGGGAAGACGGAAAGGAGTCAACGAGCGTAGGGAGTCGTGGTGTTCTGTGGCAGTGGCTGAGTCCACTGTCAGCCGTAGATGATCGTCGCGTGCAGGCAGGGGACGTGGGGGGCTAGCCTCAACTTTCTGACACTTGCAGTAAGGCGTCCGGCCTCAAAATGCACCAAAACAGACAAAGCTGCCCAGAGATTTGACATCTTGTCGGCTTTACGCAAGGGCTGGCATTGTTCTAGATTTCGCAGAAATGTGGTCAGGTATTGATTTGGCCGAAGTTACCAGCAGGACTGTTTGTGAACTGGACACGCCGGGACTCGGCACGGATCTGCGCATATTCCTTGTGTGCAGCCACACCGCATAAACGTAGGGCTGATCTTTGAATTGACGCGAACGGCTATCTGAAACGTGGTTGTTCGACAAGACTTGGCCCAGCCCAGAAGAAGCGCGCTAGCGGAGTCAGCGGCATCTGATTCGCTTGTGGTCTCTGATGCAACTCGGAGTCCGCTAGAATTCCATATTTCCGAGCCTATAACGTCGAAAATATGTCCAGACCAAACATTTAATCTGAACAAGCATCGAAGAGCCTCTTACTTGTTGTCAGAGGACCGTGGCATGGTGCTCGTCATGGCCGGATAGTCCACGTGCTCCTCTATAACAACCGAAGCAACTCGGCATCTTTTGCTATCCCGGGACTGTCGCGTGCACAGCTCTCGATGAGTGCCATCATGATTTGTACCCACTCCTGCCACCCATCTGGCAGAGTATCTCTCAACTTCTGGTCTGGAGATCTTGCTACGGCATGGAAAAGTAGCACCTGGCCAAAGCACTGGCAACACCAGCCAAACTTCAGGGGCAGAGCTGATAGCATTTGGGTGCACAAGCCCATAGTTGTTGGCCAATACATTCCGCCACGAAGACCTTTCCGCACCTCATTGTATTCGGCGTCGCTGGTGAATGCCGGCGCATGCAACGCTTTGTATAGGAAAGGCCTTCCAATATGGAACTTAGCCACGAGATATCGGCTGCGCAACATGGCTTTCGCGATGACATGGGCGGGACTGGGCGAGTCGTCTGCGTTCTCGTTGTCGGAAAACTGCAATGATGGAGGAAGGTTTGCACGCCACTGCTCAAGCTGGTGATGCATCTCGGCTGTGATGCTCACCCCAGGGTACGCCTCCTTCTTGACGAAGAAGTACAGGCTCTGCTTGACCCGGGTAAGGATGATGCGATGGGCAGCTTGTGCAAGAAAGTGAAAGTTGAAGAATGAGTCGTCCTCATCGGTAAGCAATTCTGCTATGGATGTCTTTGGACGAGGGCAAGCTGTGAACTTGGGCAACGGTACGTTGGATTCATACTCCAATATTCCACTGTGTGGCAGGAGATCAAGTTCTTGGGTGATGACTGTTTCGTACATCAACGTGTTCCAGAAGAGTCGCGAGAACATGTCGCCTTCCCATTCATCGAAATCGATTGTCTCTGATCGGCTCAGAGTCGTCATACAGCAAAGAGCTGCACGATTGACAGTCGTCCAAGAGTCTAGTGGTCGCAAAATCTGAGCATAGTACAGAGTGGACAGCATATAGAACTGCCCAGCCTGAAGATCGTTCTGGCACATGATAAAGCCAAATCGCTTGCGGGCTTCATTGAAGAATGTGAGTCCTGGCGTCTCATCCACTGTAAGTTCGTACCAGTCAGGGCGCACGAAGCCTGGATTCGACGAGAGTATGCGGGAGGGAAGAGCGAAATCACCTTCTTCGTAGGCTTTCACTGCCAGGCATCCAAGCGCAAGGACGATCAGCACAAGGCACGTTTCGATGTCATAGCCAAACTCAGTTGCTGTAGCTCTGCCTAGGGTGCTTGAGTAGAAGAAATACTTGTCGAGTATCGGAGTGTTGCGATGGAAGACGCCGAAATAAGCATCAGCGAGGCCTTTCACGACGGACTGTGGGAGGCTCATCAGCCATGACTCTGGCATAGTACCGTAGGGCCGATCGATATGCATCGGAACAGACGCCCGCTGGCTTTCTATCTCGACAATGTAATCCTCCGCAAGTCCGGCGCGTGCTGCGGTGAATTCGACGGGTAGAACATTCTTCACCGCTGGCCAAATGGCGACTCGGTGTTGACTGAAAGAGAGCGCGACTTTGCTTTGTATATCTGGGATTGAGAGAGGACTTCTACCAGGAGTTGCCACAGCCTGAGGAGACATGACGAGCTCATGGATGTTCGATCTGTCATGACGGGGAACAGTTGGATTGAAACCAGGAGTATGATTTACTGGACTGGGATGAGAGGCTACTGAAATTGGTGAACGATGGTCTACTATCGCCACCGATGGTAGCGACGCTGGTGCCGACTGTGGGGGTTTCGAAACAGTGACAGCAGCCGTCAGATCTTCGATTTTCGCCTCAAGCCTCCGAATAGCATTGATAGCAACGGCCATAGATTGGTCTTTTTTGGTGGTACGTGTCTGATAAGTACAATCCAAGTTCATAGCCTTGCAATAGCCTGTGATCCATATTAGTACTGAGTAACTTTACAAGTGATTAGCCAATTGACTTACCACATCTTGGGCGATCCTCGTCACATCGGCTCTTTCTCGTGCGACAAGCATCGCAGGCCAAAGTGGCCATGAAAGAACGCTGTTTTTTCAAGACCGAGCCATCCGCGTCTTCCTGGCTTCCAGTGCCATCAGCATCATGGGAAGTTTTTCGTTCAGACGGCGCTGGATGCGACGAGCCTATGACACTGTCGCGCGACCGTTTGGTCATATCATGCTATTGATCAGGGTGGGCGAGCATTGGCAGTCAGGTTCTCTCCTGAGAGTGAGATTGGATGGGTGGCCGTCGGCAGGTTTTCCCGATCGACGATGTCGGCGGATCCACGTGAGCGCACGTACCCCAACAACACGTCGATCGATATCGCTGCCTCTTCCTTCTTCCTCTACACAACACCATCGAACCAGCCCCAGGTACCGCACAGCTTCTTCCTCTCCATGGCTGTGCGGCGTCCTGAGGAAGTTTTGGCTGTCCCTTGAATGCGTACTAATTCACCAGTGTCACTAACGTGTGCAACATCTAGCTCTTGTTCGTGAGAACCTTCACTAATTCGACGTAGGAACACCGGCACCTTCACGCTTGCATGATCGCAATCGACACGATCACTGCGCTCTTCTTGACCCTAGGCCTAGCCGATGTGCTTATATCTTCCAATCGGCGCTCGATGTCCATTAGCAGATGTAGATGTCCACAAAGGCAATCGCCACATTCAGAATCTAGCAATGTCTAGTCTATGCGAAACCACCATGCTGTCCGACTCTCTGGAAATTCATTTATATGTGCAACACTAATTCCTTCCAGGTGTTTCATTCCAGCAGTCCTTGTTCAATCTCATGTCTCATTCTAACCTCTTTCCGTGTCGGCTTACCATTCTAATCATGTCCGACGCTCTGACATTCCATTCGTGTTCATCACTAATACCTTATAGTCTCACTTCATTGTCAAAGCACACATCTCCCCATTGCAGTCAACTGAGACACAGGTCTGCACCATGCTGATCCGTAATTATGGGCTACCTATATGGAGCGGATCGGAGTGTGTTATGTCCTCAACTACACGCGGGCTCTCCTGTAGCGCCCATACAGCTGCGTTCATTCTCTTTTCTGTACGCCCCGCTCGCCTTGGTCCATCTTTCATCTTCCAACGCGTACGAGCGAGTCTCTCGGGTGTTGTTGTCGTTCGGTCGTCGTTGAGGCTGGCGTAGGTGAGGTCTTTCGAATCAGGACGACACTCATCGGCGGCTGTGTGGTCCTACTACTTGGTGTTTCCTGTGTACACGTCACGCACACTCTCCGCATGATCCGTCTTTCATCGCTGTATGAGCAAGGGTCTCGGGTCGTTGTCGTTCGGTAGCTGATTCGGGCGTGTCCGCGGTCTTTGGATTTACGACGACCCTCATTGGTGGTCATATGGAGGGGTCAAAGCTCTTCGCATGTTGTCATGACACAACGTCAGGCACCACGTAAAGCTTCAGCAGACGTGGAAGAGACTGGGGAGGCTCCTGTATGTGCCAGATGTATGCTGGGCTGCTTTCGTACCTGTAGACGGATCTACAGAGGATCAGATGTACCATCTGGACAGCCCCGCCGATATGGTGCTTCCCACAGTCTCCGCGGGGCTCTTTCACGTTTCAGACCACACACTTCGATGAGTTTCGACCTGGGTCTTCACACGGAGAAGCAGATCTCGATCCCCGAGTCCAAGCTGATTTTGGCCGCGAGCTAGAGGCTTAGCAAAGCTCCTACTCACCCGCTTTACTCGCCTCCCTGCTCTCTGCCTTTGAGTTCACCGTGAACTGCTGTCTTCCTGGCAGGAAGTCTCCAGCAGTGGGTCTGTATCACTTAGGCGTCATACCCTGCGCCAATGGGCACCAGGAATGAAGATACTAAAGCCAAAAAGGGGTAAGTTACACCGGTCTTCGCAGTGGCTGAGTAAACCGCTCCTCGTGCACGGGACTATACGGACCCAAGTGACGCCTTTCGGGCGAATGAGAAGCCAGGAACCGACCTTGCTCTCCGCTTCCGACTCGTAGATTGAGCATGGCAGTATCTACAGTTCACGTTCATCTTCGATATGAGCGATGAAGCTGTACAGACGCTGCAGGCTTCGCCGCTCGTGAGGTACATAAGAGGTTGCTCGCACCCCTTTACTCCGGTTTCCTCAGCAAACCTCGAGCTCATTACCTCCTCACATCTATTTTCGGCAGCAAATCCTTCCAGAAGCTCGAACATACGTCTCCATCAGATCCATTCCACCTTTGTAACTCTTTCCTGAATCAGTTCTCACTTCTCTTCGACAATCTCACCATGTCCGACTTCAACATCATTCCCAACGAGGTCCAGCCTATGGGCCCCATGTGGCAGCGTCTACCCATGGACATCACCATGGAGATCATGGCCTACACCATCATGGTCATACCCGTGTACAACAAGCCTGGTCGGATCATGAACAAGAAGTGGTTTGACATCCTCACCGGCCTTGGCGCATTCAAGAAGTTTCGCCTCTGGTGCTTGCCCCAGCCCATGGTCATGATGAAGCCCTTCTACCAGGGTCACACCTTCGTCTTTGACAACGGCAACGACTTGGGATGGGCTGCCGACGTCTCAGTGGCACCCTTCTTGCCTCCTCACGCCTTCCGCCACCTCCTCCGCCGCATACAAGTCAGCATCACCCTACACGACTTCATGTACATCGCTCAGCCTGGTAGCGACAGGTTCATGCTTCACCCCTTTGGCTCCGTTAATGAACTCATGCAGCATTGCCCGGGTGCGCGTTCGCTGCGTAACCTCACCAATGCGACCACTGGCTTCTCCAACCTCGACGTTCTTGACCTGGAAATCATCCCGGACTTTCGCTCCGGCAACCACATGGCTACATTAGCCATCATGACAGCTGCGGCTTTTGCGGTTAGCGCCCGCAAGGTCACCATCACTGTGCAGCAGTCGCCCTTGGGATATTTGTCGACCTTCAAGACCCACATATGGGTCCCTGAGCTCAAGAGCGTCATCGCAGTGACCTTGGTGGAGTAGTGGTGTGTGTTGGTTGGCCGGTGGTTGGCGGATACTAGACGTTGAAAAGTCTAGGTGCATATAGGATTGTATATCCTCGGAATCTACTCTGTTTTTGTTTCTTCTGACACTTTCCTGCCTCATGCACTGAGATCCTTCTGGCTGACATATCAGGTCCCAATCATATTGCGCGGACATTCGTACTGAGATCCTCCTCGCTAGCATATCAGGTTCTCTTTACCGTATCCAGACATGCCTACTGAGACTCTCCTCACACACGCATACACATCAACATCTACTATGTACCATTCCATGAGGCTGTACAGACATTTACAACACCTCATCAGCAGACATGTAATCATGTATCCAGCTCAGACTCATGCCGAAGCATATCGGCTATACACATGACTCATCCCCCTCACCCCCACCATCCCGTCATCTCATGCAACCAAAAAAACATCTTATACAAAATGGGCCCCAGAAACCCGACAAATCTCTCTCCAGCCACGCAGCAATGTCTCAAAACACTTCTTCCCGCCCCCTAACCCGCGCCTCCGTCATCGGCGCCCACGAAATCATCAAACCACACATCCACCGCACACCGATTCTAACCAACACCACCTTATCCACCCTCGCATCGACACCGCAGACACCTCAAGCGCTGGAAAAAACACAATGGGCGGGTCAAACGCCTGCAAACCCGACTATCCGGCTGTTCTTCAAAGCCGAGAATTTCCAGCGCATTGGTGCGTTCAAAGTGCGCGGGGCGTTTCATGCGGTGGGGAGGTTAATCGAGGAGCTTGGGGTGGAGGAAGTTAGGAGACGAGGGGTGGTTACGCATAGTAGTGGTATGTATTATTCCTAGAAAGAAGAGGATGTGGTAGAGCTGACTGTGACGATACAGGAAACCACGCACAAGCCCTCTCCCTCGCAGCCCGCACATTCTCCATCCCTGCACACATCGTGATGCCGACTATCTCGACGCCGAGCAAGATTGCAGGCACGCAGGCGCAAAAAGCACATGTGCATTTCAGCGGGAGCACAAGTGTGGAGCGCGAGGCTGTCGTTGCGGAAGTCCAGCGAGAGACGGGCGCGATATTAGTCCCGCCATATGATCACCCGGACATCATGTTGGGCCAGGGCACGATGGGGATTGAGATTGAGAAGGAGGTGGAGGAATTACTAGCTGCGGATGCGGAGCTGGGTAGGAAGGGAAAAGCAGGATTGGATGCGGTGATTGCGCCGTGTGGAGGTGGAGGCATGTTGTCTGGCATTTCCATCGCGCTGGAACCTACTTCGATACGTGTGTTTGGTGCAGAGCCTAGTTTTGAAGGAGGCGATGATGCGAGGAGGGGTGTTGAGGCTGGCGAGCGGGTGACGAGTGTGAAGACGCTTACGATTGCGGACGGTCTTCGGACGCCGCTTGGGGAACACACGTGGAAGATTGTGTCGGACAAGAAATACGTTGAAGGGCTGTATGCGGTGACGGAGCAAAACATCAAAGACGCGATGAAGTTGGTGCTGGAGCGGATGAAGTGTTTCGTAGAGCCGAGCGCAGTGGTGGGGTTAGCGACGATATTGTACAATGAGGACTTTAGGAAGATGGTGGAGAAAGAGGCTGGGGATGAAGGCTGGAATATTGGGGTTGTGTTTAGTGGTGGCAACACGACGATTGAAGCGATCACGAAGATCTTTGCTAGCGATGTGACGGAAAAGCAGGCTGAGAGGCATGAAGGTGTTCTGGGTAGTGACGGAAGAAGACAGGTGGAGAACGTGGCAGGGTGATAAATCACGCAGTAATCATTTAGCATTATTCTAGCATCGGCAGCGTTCTAGCAGCCCAGATCGTATCTACGATGGAGCTTAGTTTTGGATGCTGTACTACATAGGCCGGCCCACCAAATGTGCAATCGTGCCTCTCAAGTTGTAGAAGAAGCGAGAAATAGCTAATGCAGCTAGGCTGCGACAATAGTCTAAGAATAAAGAGAAAATAATTCAAAAAACGTGCGAATGCCTCTAGGAAGTCTTCTAACTTTTCTTAAGACAGACTTAAGTAGAGCTGTCTACATAGAGGGAGGAAACATCATCCTGCATATAGATTTTCTGAAGCTGCTAAATCTCGCTTTTTCCGCAACGTGAGAGCGCGCATCCGAGCTTGGTAACGCGCCTCGTAGAACTGATGCTTTGCGACACAACGATATACTCAAATAAGCTGTAATTGATAGAACTATTCAATTGTATGGAATTATAGCTATCGCGACTTTTTTCCGGGTGTTTTAGTCACCCATGGAAGTAGTTTATCAACCATGCGCGATGACCTTTCTTGCCGCCCCCATTACCCATTTATTGATGACCTCTATAGGTATAAGTCTAGTACCACTTCTTGATATCCTGCGGCATAACGGCGATATCTCGCTTTCCATAGCCAGTGCTGTTGCTGCCGTTCAGTGGGGCTCCACTGCCTGGCAGCGTCGTGAACGGCGCCTCACTGCTCAAACTATCGATGCGACCGAGCAAGAATTCAAGCTGCCTGTACGCACTTGAAGGTTGGTATTGCGGTACCATGATATGGATTTGTCTTGTCTCTTACCTTGCGCCTGGTTCTGGCAACTGCGCGCTCTCACCGCTAGATTCTGGCAACTGCGCGCTCTTACCTGTGGCTCCAGGTCAATCAGCTGATAAACATGCGACTGACTTCTTCGATCAATAAACTATATCTTAAACCTTCCCATCGTTTTCAACAACCTACTACCTCTACATCATTGCGACTGCACCTGCGTGAAGCATCCTCGACATCGACTGCACCTCGAGTTCATTGCGTGAGTAGCACCTTATCAGGAAGTGCGCTTGAGCCGATTGGCATGGCACTGTCATTGCCTGACCCCGAATTGGTCCAGGCGTCAAGCATCGAGCCAACCTCCACCGCAGGCGTTGGCGCAGCCACCGACATCGCCAATGCATCGAATCAACACGCAACTGCACAGCTGGGTGAAGATGCACTAGTCTTGCATCGGGGTTCCACGCCTCGTGCACAAGGTGAGACCGACTTGACGCAACATCCGGTCACACCCGCAACATCTTCAAGCGCGTCTCCCCTCACCCTGCAGACCGCCAGCGCACAGCCTGTGGTTGAGAACACCGTCATTCAAGGCATCCATTTCTCAAACGAGCAAGCAAACAGCATCGCTCAGCACATCGCAGCAGAGAAATTGGCGTGGCTGAGTAAGATCAAGGACCATGTCTCCGATCGGATTGACACAGCAATATTCTCGGCAGAAGCACACTTTGCATCAGCCATACATCAACTGCAACAGATTCCTGCGAAGAGGCAAGATATGATACGTTTGTATGGTGGCGCATCATTTGATCCAAATCCTCCTGGTATCAAGTATCCCGATGAACTCGCGCAAGACCTGCAGAAGGCTAGCAAGGACATTTGCTCCGGCCTCTCTTCACTCGGCGAGATGATGACCGAGAAGAAGCATCCATCATACAACATTTCGAGAGCACTGGTACATCGGGCCTTACAATCAACCGGAACGGCGGGTCCTGCTGCATTTGAGGCAGAGCTGCATCAGCTCTACATCGAGGAACACTCTGCTTCAGACAGACTCACACCTTTGACCACTCAAATCAATGACGAAGATTGGGCTGTGGTTTCGAAGCCACCCATCCGTCTGCCATTTCCAGCGGAGCAGAACACAACACAGGCTGCTGGAAACATCAAGGTCGAAGTAGAAGGGCCACGGAGCGCCAAGAGCAAGACAGCATCATCCACAACACCTTCAGCAAAACCTACACCAAAAAAGAAGGCAGACTCCAATATGAAACAGACCTGGAGGGACAATCCGAAGAACGGAGTCATCGTGTACCTCGAGGCATCTGAGCAGGACATCGTGCGGACACTTCAAAGTTTTTGGGGCCGGCAGATGTGGGAGTCAGAAGGTTACATTCTTCCGCCAGGCACCATCTTCTACGCAGGTATGTCAGAGGGGCCCGAGAAAAACTTCTACAAAGAGAAGTCCGCAAAGTACTGCTCAACTTCTCACGGAACTGGTTGGCTTGTCATCGTCCCGTACGATGTTCGTAATTGCAACGAGTGTCAGCACAGCAAAAAGTTTTTGTCCGTCAACGCGTACCTTCCACCAGGCAATCGTTACTACATCCTTCGTCGGGGGTGGAGCATCAACTCTGAAGGTGACGTGTTGGACACCAAGAAAAACCTCGCCAGCCCAATCAACAACATCAGCCGACTGACACTTATGGGTCGGACCGTTTGGCAATCTGAGAGCGAATTCACTCGTACAGACATTGGCATACCGCAGCACATTGACAAAGCATACCGGGAGGGTGCGCTCTCAAAGCTCAGCCTCGCCAATGTCGATCGCTGGCTCAATCTAAATGACAAAGGCAAACCGAAATACAAGGTTACATTCGATCGAGGGTCCAGAAAGTGGGATATTGGATCAGCCCGTAGGGTCATTCCAATGCAATCTTCCGACAAGAACGACAAGAAGTCGCTGGTCACATTCCATGCTGAACGTATGCGCGAGGTCTGGGACTTTACTGGTTTCGGCGACGAAGAACTGGAAAAAGTCTTGGGCAAGATGCTGGACACCGTTGACGATTTGCAATGTGCTGAAAAGATTCCTGAATCATTTGACACTAGAACACACTGGTTCACTCGAGAAGACGCAGAAGAGTTTCGGAACCGTGGTAGCCTTGAACGACTCATAACTCATCTGGGAGGCTCAGTGCCAAAGAGTCGGAAAGTGGAGTCTCAGGACCAGAAAGCAGCAAAGAAGAGGGTGACGACAGGAATTGCGAAGCAAAGTGAAGCATCCCAGAAGCGCAAGGCTGCAACTGAAACCTTTGAGCAGAATGAAAAGAAGATCAAGCTAGAGAAGGACGAGGAAGATGACGGAGCAGGTGGCGAAGAGAAGGATACATCGCCTGTCCCTTGTTCGTTTGAAGATTTCCTCGCGAGGGAATCTTAGGAGAGCCGTGGTGAACTGCATCTGATAGCTTCGCGGCCTTGGCTGACTGGGGTTTGCAGGTGGAGCTATCGCTCGCTGATCTGGTGGAAAAGTCTTTTTCCTTGTCACAAATTACTTGCATCGATCCTGAACGACCTCTTTCAGGGTCGAAAATTGCCATTTTCTAATTTACTTCTTTCGATTAGGGAGTCGATAAATCTCGGATTGGGATTCTGATACTGGAAAGGAGTTTCGGAATTGTTCATTTGCTTACTGACTTTGCGACATATTTAAATAGAAAACTCTCGAGAAAAAATACAAGACTTGTATGATGTGTAACTTGCATTTCCTAAATACTTAACTAATGCTCATGCAAATCTTCGTTCCTCTCTTTCTCAATTTCTCAAGCTGATATAAAAACTATTACTTACAGCACCAAGTTATGTTCCGGCGGCAGCTACGCTGGCTCAGACTTCCGCCTTGCGTCCTAGCTGGGGCGGGGAATTTATCCTAGCTCGCACTCTTGATTTCATTCTATACGTACTGAGGCTGATTGGTAGGTCACAAATTTCAGCTACTAAAGCTTCACACGGCTGTTATGTAATCTCCTCCGTATGTTGTAGTTCATCCATCCTAGTATAAATATGTCATTAGATACTTCTAATTCGTCTACTGAACCAGCCGCTCGTCTCCGTCGCGGCTGATTTAAAAGACAGCGTTATGTAATTGCCACATGTTGACACCAGCTAGAATTACGTCGAGTGGCGGCTACACAAACAAATTTGAGCACCTCCACATGGACAACGTTCCGCCATGTAGGAATTAGTTTGGCTGATTGGAAATTTTGTTGCAGTGTTCAAATCATGTTTAATTCTCCCTCAGCTCTGGGAACCTTGTCGGTCACAATGAAGGGGCGCACTTCGCCCGACACATCTCTTCTGCAGATGCGGTCATGTAAGTTTCCCGCCAGCTTGAAGTTTACAGGCTGCTTCAGCGTCAAGGGCATCTTATTGATCAAAATTTTCTTCTCTCTTCGATGAATAGTAGGCCTGCCAGCTTAAGACATCCGTTGTCTAAGTTCCGCCTTGACCTTGTTTCTCAGCTGAACCAGAAAGCCGCAAATTCAACATCCTAGAAAAGTTCTGCTTGCAACTTTTTCCAATATGCGAATTCATTTGGCATCTACAAAGCAAATTGTGTGTAGTCAAGTCTATGGTACCCGCCATGTGATGTGTCTTTCGCTGAACGTTCCATTCGCCGTGCCTCGTAACGCACATTGAACTTCCGCCGCATGCACTTCGAGAGGTGGAAGCTTCGTACACCTGTCGTCCAAGAACTATCCCCCCCTCATATTCTACTATGAGTCATCTCCGCTGATTGATCCTTTTCTGGCGGTAAAAGGCTGTCATTATTGTCCACGAGAATTTCGCATCCACACAATGAGATTCAGTACCGACCGCCACACATACGATACTTCTCGGATGTTGTTGAGGGATATTGGTACACGGAGTCGTGTCATGGGGATTTTGATGAGCACGGAAGATGTAAGCACTCCGCCGATGGAGTCTTCGGTAGCGGAACATCCACCATGATAGCCATTTGCTAAACATTGTCAACATTCATGTGCATCCCCAACTACCCGCTGGCTGAGACTACAAGGGCTGTTCCATAGCGATGTCGATGTGTGGCTGAGCGGCATTGTTAGAAAGACTGGCCAGCCCAGTCCGCCTTCGAGGTCACGGCTGGCGGTAAAGTCTTTATTTCTCTGTACGTTGCAAATGCGATTATAATGTGGATATCAAAATACGCTCAAATTGTGGCAGTGCAATCCGGCTTGGATGACATTCTCATAGTACTAAATCACAAGCCAG